CGGTGTGAACAGTATCGGTGCGGCGAACGGTGACGAGCTCGGTCGGATAAACTGCTTTTCTAACAGGTAATCTAACTGCTTCCTTAACTCGTCGAGCTCGGGCTGTGTCAGTCGAAATTGCCGCTGTACAGTTGGCTGTGCCCCCGGTTCTAACTCGATCCTATGGTCGTGCGCCCGCTGAGGTGGCAGTCCCTGTGGTAAATCATCCGGAAATATCCCCGGGAACCGTTTCAGTAGTGCCTGTAGTTCGGTCGGTACAGCTGCCAGCAGTTTCTCCAAATCACTCGGCTGCTCATCTTTTTCTACGAGTGCGATATCCACTGCGTACACGTCAGCTCCAGCAGCGACAGCCCGTTTCATCGTGATGGCGTTGATCTGGACCGTCGAAGATTCAGGTGGCTGCCAGCGAGGTAGAATGACCCAGTTACCACTACTTCGCACTGTGCAGCTCCCCGTCGTCCAGTCGATCCGTGGATTGTACCGTCGCAGCCAATCACGTCCCAATAAAATGTTGTGCCCATCCAGTGTCGTCGCGAGCATTTCCTGTGTAAACCCGAAGTCCCCCCCGCAGCGGACTTTTACGCGCTCCACCTTTTCCCGTATGGCCAGGGGCGTGCCGTCGACTAAGCGTGCATCTATCTCAGGTAAACATCGGTTAAGCGTTAATTGTAATTTTCGTGCGGTTGCGGTATTAACTAAGCTGTGGCTTGCTCCTCCGTCAATGAAGATCTTCACTGCTGCTCCCTGTATTTTCCCGTAGATCAGTACCGGGCAATCCGTCGCTGTACCCTCCTTATTCATCCGAGCCCGATCGATGGCGTGAATCGGTACTGTGACTCGGTGAGGGTCGGTGTGGTTGGGCGAGCAGGCAGTCTCGTCAGTAGTTGGCCCAACTTCTACTGACTGCTGGCGTTTCCCTGCCTCCGAGACTCCCTCCCCTGCTCTGCTCCTCGACGCCTCAGCTCCTCTGGACATTCGCTCTTGCGATGGCCCGGCCGGTTGCAAGCAAAGCAGCGCCCTCTAAACGGCGCGGCAGCTGCATTCGCTGCGACGGCATGTACAGTGGCGTGCTCGGTCGGTCCCCGAGGACGATGTCCGTAATAGGACCCCGGTCTCGGTCGGCGTAGGATATCGATTTTCTCGGCGAGCGCGAGGATCTCGTTGAAATTCGAGAGCCCGCGTAGCATTATCTCGTGCGAGATGTCCGGCTTCAGCCCTCCGACGTAACGGTCCACCCGCTCCGCCTCGTGCATGTAGCCGACCTGTTCACAAAGTGCGAGAAACCCGTTGGTGTAGTCTTGAACTGACCCGAGCTGGCGCCAAGTGCGCAGTTTCTGACACGCCGAAATCGAGGCCGCGATCGGCTCAAAGCGCGCTCGAAGCCCTGCGCACCACGCATCCCACGTGCTGTATTGGGCTGTTTCGCAGAACGAACTCCAGGTAACAGCTGGACCCGAGGGCCCTTCCTCGTGCGACGGTGGCTCGTAGGCGCGCGGCGATGCACAATGACTCGCCACCAGTCCATGGCGGGACCCTAGAGTAGTGAAACCGCATACCGGATCTTGGCGGCGTCCGACTCGACGTAGTTGGCGTCGAAAAACACATTCATCGTGAAGACCCACGATTGAACTGTCGGGCCGCCGCGTTGGCTTGGGTCGAAGCAGGGCGGGCGTTGCGGCTTGAGTGGCATTGGGGCCATCATGGCGTTCTCGCCACTTGTCGCCGCAAACTCCACGTGCCGACGGGCTTCTCGGGGCTCCCGTGGGCTTAATGCGCTCCTGTTCCCTCCCATGCCGGGCATCGGTTGGGCTGCGCCGTCACTGGCTGCGCCTGAGCGCTGTCCCGTGCTGTTGTGTTGCGTTGGTGTGCCGGATGAGATGACGATGGGCTCCTCCGAATGTGTAGATGCATTGGTTGGTGCGTGTGATGGCGTCGGTACGTTCACCGTTGACTGTTGACGGGCGGAGTCACGTTCCGCCGTGAGAGTCGCGATTTCGAGCGCCGAATCCTCCAATTGACGCACGAGACGATCGAGTTGCTCCTGCGTCAACGTGGCGAGATTGAAATCGGCCATGGCGGGGGTGTCGGGCAAGCTCAGCGAGAGCCTCGGTCGTGGCCGTGCGTGCTTTCGAGAGAGCACTACGAGCGGCGGTGCTGTGTCGCTGAGAGACGTCTACCCCCCCCAAAAAATTGAGATAGTGGGAAGCGAAGGTGTGGATGCGGTCCGAGATGAGATCGTAGGCTCTGAATACCAAGTGTTACGAGTGCAATTGAGTGAACGAACGAGAATTGCACTATCGAAGCAAGAATACAAATGAGCGAAGGCATGAGCGAACATTATATAGCGAAACTACAGTGGTAACGGTAATGGTCGCGCGGCGAGCCTGGGACTGAGGTTGGGAAAGTGTCGAAGCGTAGGTCCGGGGCGCGGGTTACCAGCCGAGCCGTGAGGTCGGGATGCGATGTGCGAAAAGGGCGGGATGATGAATGATGCGATGGTCGCGAGTGGTAACGGTGCTGACTGAGGTGCTACAGTGATGTACGCGTTGAGCAGGGACGTGAAGTAAGGGAAAGGGAATTTCCTTACACCTAGCCTGCGCAGAAGCTCCACATTTATCCTATGCTTTTGTAGGTCTTTTCTCAACACACATAATGTAAGGATTTACAAATCCTTACTGAGGCACTTGTTAGCGAGGCCACCCCGAGGGTCACGCGACGAACCTGTTCTTCCTATTTCGTCGCACCGAACCACTCCTCCCGAGTCTCCTCCGCACCAATCGCAACCATCACCGAGCCATCTTCGCCCAACCTCCCCGCCTAGCTAGGACTTCCCCTATTTATGCCTCGTCACTTCCGTTGTATCGTCATTCGGTACTCAATCATTCTCGTTATTCGATATTCTGCGCACTCTGCGAGTTCATTCACAATACATAAGGACCTTGGCCGTTAAAATTACGAAATCAGGCAGTGTCGGGTATAATGAGGTGCATCAAATCGTAATGGTGCAACAACCTTGTTTTCTAGAGTACGTAAAGGATGAAACAATCATTGGTCAGATGCGCTGCATTATGGTATGCTCCGAGGATGATATTCAACCCACCGTAGAGAGAAAACCCTGATGCATGACTAAGGGTCCTGGCCTCCAAATTAGGTTATGATTGTCTTGATTTGTTCACAAGCTCTCTCTAATGGATATTTCACACTATCGAAACAAGCACTCAGGGGGGCGTGCTGTTGCTTGCTGGTTGCTGCTGACACATACTGCGAAGCTTCTGTACCCTTTCTGTTTTCGAGCCGGAACACAACTCAATTCACGCCACACAAACATTCCCGCCCGCCCACACTGGCAGGTTTGGCCGTCACTAGAATTCGGTGACCAATGAGGTTGTACTCTGGTGACGGAGGTAACGGCGTCTCGGGTAGTAGGGCCGTCGTGAAGTCGTCGTCGTCGTCAGTCGTCAAACCTTAGAGTGAACCGCCGACAGGTGCGACTATGAGACAGGATCTCTCACCTGCGCCTCCCTCCTGAAATGTGACGCGATGCGATTTTCCCGTCCATTTCCTGCCTTGCATTTGCAAATCACCTGTCCGTCTCAAGTGTTTGCGAGTACGTATCACCTTGTGTTACATACAACCACATCAGCACATTGCAATTGGTCATCTAATCTCCGATCGACATCTCAGCATATTCCTACTCAGATGCCACGTGGACATCTAGATAGTTATCTCAGCCCCCAATTCACTCGGCTGGGCAAGTCGTTAACATTTACAGTCTTAGTTCATATTTCATGACGTTATTTAACGGTTTAACGTGGTGTTCTCATTTCCTACGAATTCAGTCGTTATGAAACGCAAGACCCGTACAGAAGACGCATCAGTTAAATACCCCCTGGGTGCAGTCTTACCAGGGAAGCCTATCGAGCCCCTTAGGGCGTGTAACATCGCAGCGAACCACGCTCTGGTCGACTGTTTAGTTGACCATAAGCTTCGCCAGTGTTCGCGAGGGGCGACGGATTTACAACCTCCTAACCGCCCCTTTGGGCGACTAGACAAGACGTGGCTGATTTGGAGCAATCTGAAAATGCATCGGCGAAACGGAGTAGAGTGCGACAATCAGGTGTAACGGCACACGAATTGAGTCGGATTGGTGGAATCAATTTGGACGAAGGATATTCGTCGGCACGCGACAACTCGCGTGAGTTCGTGCAGGCCAATACGAGTCACAAATTCTGAGTTGCACGGTTTCACGGTTTCAATCGGCATTTTATCGCGACCCTTCTCGTGCACGTTCGTTACGCACCTGTGCGACGAGATGGTCGACAAAGCTGGTGTACACAGAGGCATACTGGAAGGTGCGGAAGGCTGGTCGATTTGCTCGAATTGCGATGGCGAACAGAGCGAAATGTAATCCTCGCAGAAACCAACGGTTTGTAAGTTGTTCGCTGCGATGTTACACGCCCTTACCTCCCATTCTTGCAGCTTTCTTGCCACTCTCCCGCCTATTTCTGTCACCTTCTTGCTCGTCATACCCCATTCTTGTTGTAACCATTTCACCCAAGTTCACTCGCCAGTGCTCTGCTTTTGGGATCACCGCCAAGACCAGTTCCAGTCACCATCATAAATCCCATCGCTCACAGAAAAGCTATTTCTTCTCACGAAGTCCCGATTTCCCGCCTCTTCCGACGTTCGCCGCTTCCTGTTTTTCCTCCTCCGCCAAGCTCGTTCGTCGCGCCCGTCGCCATTTATTCGTGTCCCCTTCGCTGCTGTCGCCCTCGTCTTTGACAGAGTTTGCTAGGACGTCTGCTCCTGTCCGCGTACCAAGGCAAAAACGACCTTAGTGCGCGCAAGGGTCAAGAAAAGTCGTTGAGATATTTACCGGGCATCGCGACATCTACGTCGCGTCGCCGCTGTGTCACAACTAGACTTAAAGAGCTGTTTTTAGTAGTCGCTTTTCAGGTGCTGCCACCGCTTCAGCGAACCAGTGATTAACCACCTTCGCAATGGCTTCTTCACTTCTTTCGATCCTCGATTTCGCCGCCACCTCCAAGGTCGTATCCCCTGCCCCCACTGGTACCAACGTCACGTCAACCACTGCCAACTCCCCGTCAGCCGCAACTGACGCCACTTCAACCACAACCAACGCCATGTCAGGCACTCCTGCTGCCACATCGGAGGCCTGGGAGGAGGCCATGCGCACTCAGCTCTCCACGTGGTTCGACGACCCAGATTTCGTCGACGAGGTTCCGTCAATGACGGTTACCGTCGGCGATAACGCCCTCTGTCAACTCGACGGCGTCGCGACGGTCGCGCTTCCTCCCGATTCGGTCTTCTCCGTCGTGTGCGATCCGCACAACCGGCGCGTGTTCAAGAACATCAAGTCCGTGAAGAACGAGCGCGTCGTGAGTGACTGTAACGGGGTGAAGGAGCTAGAAATGGACATGGTCTTCGCGTTCCAGCTGCCTTTCTTTACAGGCACATTCGACGCCGAAGTGCGAATGGTCCACGATCGTCCGAACCGCAGGATGACGTTCGCGCTCAAACAACCCGGCTTCATGCGCAAATTCGAGGGCTACTGGCAGGTCGAACCGCTCCTCGTCCCCGCGTCTTCCGCGAATGCCCCCTTTCCCACGTCTCTCGCCTCCATCTCCTCCTCTTCCGCCCCCTGCTCCCCTAGTTTCACTTCCGCGCCGCAATCACCCATCTCGGATTCTTTTCCGTCGGGTCGCCCGGAAGGCGACGAGACGGACTGGCCTGGCAGCGCCAGCAGCAGCCCAGACCGCCCGCCGAGCTCCGCGGACCCGGGCGCGGGCGGCGCGGGGGACGCCGCCGCGATTGGCGCGGGCGTGCGGGTGGCGTCGCGGCTGACGCTGCATCAGGTGGTGCAGCCGTCGCTGGCGCCGCCGGCGATCTTCAAGCGATGCATCCACACGATTCTCCAGATGGCCACGCGCACCGTGCTGGTGGTGTTTCAGCACGAAGCCGCGCGGATCCGGAGCAACAAGGGGGAAGCGGAGGTGGAAGCGGAGGGGGAGAAGGGCGGAAGGTGGGGCGCACTGTTTTTGCACAAGGAGGCGTTTGGGACCAAAAAGAGTGGGGCGGGGTTGGGGAAGGTGGGCCTGGGGAAGGTGGGGTTGGGAAAGGTGGGTCACGGTTTGAAGGGAGCAGTGCATAGGAAGTAAGGGGAGGATGTTGGTTTAGGAAAGCAATATGAGCGGATATCGCCTACAGCTCACAGCACTCCAGTGGAAGCAGCATACTACAAAGACCCTGAATCAAGTATGGTATACATTCTCCATTCGAACTAGGTTGGTGGGTGGTTTGATGGAGCGGCAGCTTGGGCAGATTAGAATGGGAAAGGATGGGATGGGATGGGATGGGATGTGGTGGCAGCAGGTGACGCATCAGAGCAGTTTTACAGTGCGGCCCTTAGGCATGGTGCTGACACCACCAGCAGCAAGAGTGGCAGGTTAGCAGATGTGGAGTTTGGGAGTAGATGTGGGGAACACCTGGTTTTGTCAGCGACATGCTTTAGAGTCTATCTAAATTGTTTCATTGTGGAGGCTTTTGGGGTTCTAGAGGGCTCTGGATGTTGGAGAGTTGACTGTGCATGACCTGCTACTAGTACACTGTTTGCATGTTTTGATCTCAATCAATGAGCCTCTTCAACATGCACAACAACAGCTCATTCCACCGCAAGAAAGATTGCGTTTCCAGGGGTGTCTGATCTGGACAATATCCGGCCTCCAATGATGTGTGAGGTATGGGATGGGAAACATGTGCCCTACGAACTTCACAACACAACCACCGCGGAGTCTCACACAACACACAAATCGTACCAATAATTTTTCAGCTATACCAGTCTTCAGGTTCAACACTAATCCGTATCAGCAGCATTCATAAATCAGAAGTGATTTTCCAAGAAGTAGTCTCGATGTTTTCCCCAGAAAAAATAAGGCGGCACTCTCTAGAGCAGGCTAAACAGGCAAAATGTAGATAAACTCTACTCGAGCACTGAGAGATTCGAACTCTCGCGGGCAGAGCCCATGTACTTAGCAGGCACACGCCTTAACCACTCGGCCAAATGCTCACGGGTTGTTGGATCTTGTTGTGTGATTGGTCTAAATGTTGGGCGTGGAGATGTATGTCCAAATGAAACTTACAACAACCACTCTTCTGGACCAATTTTTGCTTCTACTTGTTTCTGACGTAGGTATCGCAACCTTACCAAGTCAAAAATGCGTGCCTGCTGTAGCTTGTTACAATTTTCGTGAAGCAGCTCCGGTTCAATTTTCACACCGCACAGCACTGCACTGCACCAGTTGCAACCACTTCTTGCAGCTTATGAACGGAGGGTTCCGTTCCCCACCATACCGCGCAACAAAATCTGCATCTGAACCTTCACCTGATAGTGCTTCAGCTGCCGATGTAGAAACTATCCAGGTCAATGCATTCATCCTGTCTCTACCAGGTTCAGTTAGCTGGCCATGCGAAGCTGCTTGGAAGGAGGGGACCCACAGGGAGGAATGGGGACGACAGGGGGGAGAGGGAGTAACAAGAGAGGGGAGAGAGGGGAAGTCAAGACCGTCATGTGCATGTGAGCGTAAGTCAGGACTCTCATGTGCATGTGAGCGTAAGTCAGGACTCTCATGTGCATGTGAGCGTAAGTCAGGACTCTCATGTGCATGTGAGCGTAAGTCAGGACTCTCATGTGCATGTGAGCGTAAGTCAGGACTCTCATGTGCATGTGAGCGTGAGTCAGGACTCTCATGTGCATGTGAGCGTGAGTCAGGACTCTCATGTGCATGTGAGCGTGAGTCGAGGCCCTCACTCTGGATGGTTTCTTCATCTTGCTTCTCTCCCGTGCTGCACCCTCTGCACCGTCCCCTGCTCCTCCTGCTCCTCCTCGTTCTTCTCCTCCTCTTCCTTCTCCTCCTCTTCCTTCTCCTCCTCGTCCTCCTCCCACAGGAGTCCCCTCTCCCCTTCCCCCAACACCCCCCACCGCTCCTCCCCCCACCCCACTCGATCCTGCCAGTGTAACCCCTGTATCTGCATTAATTGGTCCTCGTGCATTACCCTCTGTACTCACTTCCCCCCGCGCCCTTCCCCTGCCTCCTCCCCCCTTCCCCCCTCTCTCCGCACCCCCTTCTCCCCCTCTCCCACCGGGCCCTTTCCCTCTCCCACGCCCCTTCCCACTCCCTTTCCTCCTCCCTTGCTCCTCCGCCTCTGCTGCCACTGCCGCTGCTTCTGCTGCTGCAGCCACAGCAGCAGCAGCGGCCAGAGCAGCAAAAGAAGAGGCAGCAGCAGCAGCAGCCGGGGGGAGGACAGAGTAAGGTTCCCCCTCAGGGGGAACGACCCACTGGGGTAGAAGAGGGGCTAAGGGAGGAGCGGGGAGACGGGCAATTGTATTGCTGTTCCTGCCTACATGCCCGCCTGTCCTTGAGCCTGTTAAAGCAGCAATCCCAGCACCACTACTGCCACAACCACCAGCATTGCCACCCCCACCCCCACCACCAACCCCATCACCAACCCCACCACGGCTACCACTGCTACCATGGCCACCACTACCAGCAGCAGAGCCAGCGGCAGCGGCGGGAGCAGCGGGGAGAAGAAAAGCTGCCGCTGCTGCGGCTGGGTCGAGAGGCGAGGTGAGCAAGGGGCGGCCAGGGGCGAGAGAAGAGAAGATGGATGCTGGATGAGGGGCGGTGGCGGAGGTGGTGGTGGTGGTGGTGGTGGTGGTGGTGGTGGTGGTGGGGAGGTTGGAAGTGCGAGAGCGAGAGGACTGGGTTCTGATGCCGTGACGCGAGGAGGGGCCAGAGGAGGTGGAGGAGGAGGAGGAGGAGGAGGGGAGGGAGGGGTGCGAGGGGAGGCGGGACTTGGGAGGAAGGTCCTTTAAAATGAAAAGGACCATGGCTGAGGGGACAGTCTCGCCTGGGGAGGGGAGGGGAGAGGAGAGGGTGGATAGAGTGATGTGAGTGGCAAGGACAAGAGGGGAGGCGAGGCGGGACTTGGGGGGAAGGTCCTTTAGAGTAAAGAGCCCCATGGCTGAGGGGACCGTCTCACCTGAGGAAGGAATGGAAGGGTATGCGGGACAGGTGGAAGAGCAGAGGGCATGGGGGGATTTTAAGGTCCTGAAAATAAAGAGTAATATGGCTGAGGGGACCGTCTCGCCTGGGAAGGACGGGGAGAGCGGGGATAATGAGATGAGAGCGGGGATATTGAGATTTGAGCGGCAGTGACAAAGAGGGCTGGAACGGGATAGAATGGACGGCAGGTGCAAGAGGGAAGCACATGGTGTGACAGCAAAAGTCCTCTTCTTGACAGGCAGGTGCTTGATAATGAAGAGGACTTCTGCTGATAGGAATGCCTTCGGACAAGGGAGGGAATAGTGTGATGGCTGGAGTAAGGGTGGGGGAATAGTGCCATGTGCGGGGCAGGGACAAAAATGCAGATGTAGAATGCGTCGCACCAAGCAGCACCGCATGATCAGAAAGACTTGGTGACTTGGTTATGGCCAATACATCCCTCGTTTGGTGACACTACTATCTGAATAATCTCGAGTCGACTCCAAAGCCATCCAACCCAGTGACAGCGGCCCTGTGCATCTGGCACAGTTTTTGAAAGGGCCCTTCAACAAGAGACGGCCCCATGCACGTGGCAATGGCACCCAGCACTGCTGTTGCCGCACCCAGAGCTGACCTATGCAGTGACACTGCTGGCACTGTTGGCACTGCTGGCACTGCTTGCTGGTAACGGCCCCTAAATGCGAGGAAGACGCACCTATGCAGTGGAAGACGCACCTATGCAGTGGAAGACGCACCTATGCAGTGGTAGACGCACCTATGCAGTGGTAGGCGCACCTATGCAGTGGTAGACGCACCTATGCAGTGGTAGGCGCACCTATGCAGTGGTAGACGCACCTATGCAGTGGTAGACGCACCTATGCAGTGGTAGACGCACCTATGCAGTGGAAGACGCACCTATGCAGTGGTAGACGCACCTATGCAGTTGCTATTTAGTCGGCTCAAGAGTCGCCTTGCTGGCACTGCTGGCACTGATGGCAACGCACCTATGCAGTGGCCCTGCTGGCAACGCACCTATGCAGTGGCACTGCTGGCAACGCACCTATGCAGTGGCACTGCTGGCAACGCACCTATGCAGTGGCACTGCTGGCAACGCACCTATGCAGTGGCACTGCTGGCAACGCACCTATGCAGTGGCCCTGCTGGCAACGCACCTATGCAGTGGCACTGCTGGCAACGCACCTATGCAGTGGCACTGCTGGGAACGCACCTATGCAGTGCCACTGCTGGCAACACACCTATGCAGTGGCACTGCTGGCAACGCACCTATGCAGTGGCACTGCTGGCAACGCACCTATGCAGTGGCACTGCTGGCAACGCACCTATGCAGTGGCACTGCTGGCAACGCACCTATGCAGTGGCACTGCTGGCAACGCACCTATGCAGTGGCACTGCTGGCAACGCACCTATGCAGTGGCCCTGCTGGCAACGCACCTATGCAGTGGCACTGCTGGCAACGCACCTATGCAGTGGCACTGCTGGGAACGCACCTATGCAGTGCCACTGCTGGCAACACACCTATGCAGTGGCACTGCTGGCAACGCACCTATGCAGTGGCACTGCTGGCAACGCACCTATGCAGTGGCACTGCTGGCAACGCACCTATGCAGTGGCACTGCTGGCAACGCACCTATGCAGTGGCACTGCTGGCAACGCACCTATGCAGTGGCACTGCTGGCAACGCACCTATGCAGTGGCACTGCTGGCAACGCACCTATGCAGTGGCACTGCTGGCAACGCACCTATGCAGTGGCACTGCTGGCAACGCACCTATGCAGTGGCACTGCTGACAACGCACCTATGCAGTGGCACTGCTGGCAACGCACCTATGCAGTGGTAGACGAGGAACCAGACGGGCAGCAGGTTGCCGTGCTTGTCCCGAAAGGACATATTCATTATGGGCTGTGGTGCACGAGGGGTGGGCATGAGGGGTGGGGCAGACGGCGTTGGGCGGTTGGCGTGGGGCACAAAGGGCGGGGCAGAAAAGGCGGGGCACAAAGGGCGGGGCACAAAGGGCGGGGCACAAAGGGCGGGTCACAAGGAGACAGTCACGAAGAGGAGGGCCAAGGCTAACAGGATTAGGCAGAGAGAGGGATGTACTGAGTGAATGAGGGCACAATCGCACCAGTGAGGACTGACTGGGATGGCATGTGATTGGCTAGAGTGCAACACAGTATGAGTGAGAGAACTGACTGGAATGGATTTGGCAAGGACGATGAATGCGTGGAGGGAGAAGCAGAGCAGAAGCTGTGCAAGGGGAGTTAACGCCAGTGAGGTGAGGGGACTGACCGGGATGTAGTTTTGAGATGTCTCAAAACTTGATGTGAGCGGACTGACCGGGATGTATTTGGCGAGGACGATGAATGCACGGAAGGAGAAGCTTTTGAGTCGACTCAAAAGCAAATGGTGAGGGTTTCCATGAGTACTTGGCTTGGCTGACCAGGCACTTACTGGAATGTACTTGGCAAGGACGATGAATGCACGGAGGGAGAAGCAGAGCAGACACATGCTGGCCAGCCATGCAATCTGATAGGGGTTTGGGGTTTAGGGAGGTGAAATGGCAGAGGAATTATATGTCAGGGAGAGACATACAGGCAAGGGGGAAAGCAAGAGGAGGGCACAGAGGGACGTGTGGTGTGAAGGGCAAATGCGCATTCCTCGTAGCGTTGCAGAAGGTATGTGAGTTCGTAGGACCTGTAAAATTACATGCACATCAAATACATCACACATGTGCCTCACCTTACACAGCGTCTTAAGCGCACTCGAATTTCACTATCGCCCAGGTCAGCAGCGCCTTGATGATGTCAGCACGCACCATGCTGATGTCAGCACCTACCTTGCTGAGGTCAGCAGCGCTGGGCCCAGCCCTGAGCACAGACATTTTGGAGAAGAGCAGCAGCCCGTAGAACGCGAGGCCTCCTCCTGATAGCAGCGTGGCGACTGCAAAGAAATCCGCATGCATCTGATGGGCGTGAGGTTGGGCAGGGAGAGCGGGTGGAGGGATTGAGAGAAGAATTGCAAGGAGACGAGACGAGTGGCAGCCCGTAGAAGGCAAACCCTCTGCCTGATAGCAGTGTGGGCGACAGCACAGAAGTCCGCATGCATCTGATGGGCGTAAGGTTGGGTGTGAAAGAGAGGGGAGGGATTGAGAGGGATTGGGAGGGAGGGATAGGAAACGAGGAGAGAAGCAGCCCGTAGAAGGCAAACCCTCTGCCTGATAGCAGTGTGGGCGACAGCAAAGAAGTCCGCATGCATCTGAGGGAGGTGAGGGTGGGGCTGGGTGGGTGGGAGATTTCATGGGGATTGCAAAGAATTGTGAGGGGTTGCAAGGGATCGTGATGGGTTGTAGGGGATTGTGAGAAGAAGAGAAGAGCAGCAGCCCATAAAAGGCCACTGTAAAGGAGTCCGGATGCATCTGACGGGGGTGGGGGTTGGAGGGGGTTTCAGGGGGGATTGAAAGGGATTGAGAGGGATGTGAGAGATTGCAAAGAGACGAGAAGAGCAGCAGCTCGTAAAAGGCCAGCCTTCCTCCTAATAGGATTGTGGCGACTGTAAAGAAGTCCGCATGCATCTGATGGGGGTGGGGGAGGGCGGGAGAGTGGGAGGAAGGGAGAACGGGGAGAATTTTGGAGGGAGCACGATAGTGGCAAAGAAGGCAAGGAGGAAGGGAGTGGTGCTGGCCTGCGCAATGAGCGTGGGGTGGATGGGGCTGCGGCTTTTGAAACGACTCACAAGTCACTTCGTTTGAGGGGGACCAACGCAAGGAGAGGCAGGGAGAGGCAAGGAGAGGCAAGGAGAGGCAGGGAGAGGCACGGAGAGGCAGGGAGAGGCACGGAGAGGCAGGGAGAGGCACGGAGAGGCAAGGAGAGGCAGGGAGAGGCACGGAGAGGCAGGGAGAGGCACGGAGAGGCAGGGAGAGGCACGGAGAGGCAAGGAGAGGCAGGGAGAGGCACGGAGAGGCAGGGAGAGGCACGGAGAGGCAAGGAGAGGCACGGAGAGGCAAGGAGAGGCAGGGAGATGCACGGAGAGGCACGGAGAGGCAGGGAGTAGCAGGGATAGGCAAGCAGGCAAGCAAGCGAGCAGGCAGTGCAGCGGTGCTGACCTGAGCCATGAGCGTGGGGTCGATGGGGTTGTCTCCGAAGCCGTACCAGATGAGCAAGGCAAACACTGCAGTGAGCAGCGAGATGAAGCTCACCACCTGGTGGTGCGTGGAGGGAGGAGGGGAGGGAACGGGGTTCTGAGGTGCCTCATAAGAAGCCGTACCAGATGAGCAAGGCGAATACTGCTGTCAGCCTTGTTAGCAGCGACTTGAAATGAAGCTCACCACCTGGTGGTGGTGGTGGTAGTGGTGGGGAGGGAAAGGCTTTTCTGAGGTGCCTCAAAAGTCGTCTGTTAGCCAGCACCAAGGAAGGCAAACACTGCTGTCAGCAGCAATGTTCGTCTGGTGTGAGCCTTGTGAGCAGCGACATGAAATGAAGCTCACCACCTGCTGGTGGTGGGCCGTGACAGGAAAGGGGAGGAGATGCCATGGCTTGGCAGGACATGACATGGCATGGCATGGCATGGCATGGCATGGCATGGCATGGCATGGCATGGCATGGCATGGCATGGCATGGCATGACATGGCAAACTACCAAGGAAGGCAAAACAACAGGAGAGGGCTGCGTGCGTGGTTCACTCTCAAGAAAGCTCAGCTGCAGCTTACAGCAAGCACGATGCGCTGCCTGCCCTTCACCCTCAGCTTCTGCCAGCGGAACCGGGGGGTCCTCGCCCCGTCACTTGCAGCACTGCTGCCAACCCCCCCTCCTCTTCCCCCGCCTCCAAATCCTCCTCCCCCTCCTCTCCCCCCTCCTAATCCACCCCCTGCGCCCTGCCTCCCCACACCGCCCATCACCCCTGCAGCAGCATCCAGCAGCGGTTGCTGCAGGGACGCACCATGCCCCTCCGCACCCTTCCCCACTGCCATTCCCCGGCCACCCTGTGCCTGGGTATGCCTGGCCGCAGTAGCAAGGGAGTGGGCGGAGTGGGCGGAGGGAGGGGTGCCGCTGGTGCTGCTGGCTTCGGATTGGTCCGGGGAGAGGGAGCGAGAGGAGTTGAGAGGGGTGGTGAGCGGGGTGGTGAGGTTAGAAGCGGTGTCGCTGCTGGCAGTAGCTGTGGAGGCAGAAATCGAGTCGCCAGTGGCTTTGTTTGCAGTTCTTGTGGTTGCTCCCCTCGCCCCGGCAAGGCTGCTTGCAGTATGTGCTGGTGGGGCGCTGCTTGCAACACTCTGCTGCTGCTGCTGCTGCTGCTGCTGTTGTGAGTAATTCAATCTGCTGTGCTGCGCTGCTGCTGGTGGCATGGGTGGAAAGGGGTCCGACTTGTGCCTCACCAGGCCACTCCTTCCTGTGCCCATGCCTGCGCCCGTGCCCACGGCCATGCCCATACCACTGAACGCATAAGCACCGTTGCCCACAACCCTGCTGCTCCCTGCTGCCTCTAGGTCACCTCCCTCCTCCTCCTCATCATCTTCCTCCTCGTCCTCGTCTGTGCTGTCCGAGGCCTGGTGGCACAGGTCGATCCTGGTGGTGGTGGTGGTGGCAACATGCAGCAAGGGACCATGTTAACCAATAACTAGCTTAGACGGCCATGACCTACGATGATGAATGCCATGCCACGTTAGGATATACAGCATTGCGCCATGCCCCATTGTGCCATGCCCCATTGCGCCATGCCCCATTGCGCCATGCCCCATTGCGCCATGCCCCATTGCGCCATGCCCCATTGTGCCATGCCCCATTGCGTCATGCCCCATTGTGCCATGCCCCATTGCGCCATGCCCCATTGTGCCATGCCCCATTGCGCCATGCCCCATTGTGCCATGCCCCATTGCGCCATGCCCCATTGCGCCATGCCCCATTGCGCCATGCCCCATTGCGCCATGCCCCATTGTGCCATGCCCCATTGCGCCATGCCCCATTGCGCCATGCCCCATTGCGCCATGCCCCATTGTGCCATGCCCCATTGCGCCATGCCCCATTGCCCCATGCCCCATTGTGCCATGCCCCATTGTGCCATGCCCCATTGTGCCATGCCCTCTCGTGCCATGCCATGCTGTGGCATGCCATGCTGTGCCATGCCATGCCATGCTGTGGCAGTCATACCAGAAGGAGAGGAGCAGCAAAAAGGTTGCGAGGAAGATGATTTGCGGTATGGCTGCAATGCACAGAAAGCACCCAAGGGCACACACGGATTTGAGCAGCAGCCACTGACAGGTAAGGCAGCAGTAACATCAATACAAGCCACGCACGCAAGCAGGAACACAGGGAGAGCTGCACTCATGGTTTAACAACAAACAAACGATTTTCACGGAAATGGAAGTTACAAAAAAATGATGCAGAACACACAGGGAGCATGTGTACATGGGAGCATGTGTACATGGGAGCATGCACAGGGGAGCATGCACATGGGAGCATGGACATGGGAGCATGCAGATGGGAGCATGCACATGGGAGCATGCACATGGGAGCATGCACATGGGAGCATGCACATGGGAGCATGCACATAGAGAGAGATGGGGCACTGCAGTATGGGCCACATTCCTTGGGCGAAAAGGCTCAGCCGTTTGCAGTCTCCCAAGGAGGAGGAGGAGGAGGAGGAGGAGGAGTGCAGCAAAAGAGGACAGCAGGACAGCAGGGACGCACCGAGAGCAATGAAGCTGCAGGCATGGGACCAGCAGAGCCATTGGGAGCAGGAGGCGAAGGGGTTGACGACAAAATAGATGCAGTAGCCTGTGAGGGGGAGGGGGAGGCGGTAGATGGGTCAAGTCGGGAAAAGAGGTCGTAGCTGCAGGCATGGGAACACCAGAGCCATTGGGAGCAGGAGGCAAAGAGGTTGGTGACGAAATAGATGCAGCAGGCTGTGAGGGGGAGGGGGGAGGGGGGAGGAGGATGAGGCAGGCAGATGGGTGAAGGTTGGGAAGAGACTCACCTATCTGCATCATCCTCCTCTCCCCTCACCAAACCTTGCAGCAAGGAGCATGGCATGGTGTGAAGGGAAAACCGGTGGGGCACATGCGACATGTGTCATGTGAATCGCCATGCAATGCCACGGACTCAAGGCTCATGTGAATCGCCATGCAATGCCACGGACTCAAGGCTCATGTGAATCGCCATGCAATGCCACGGACTCAAGGCTCATGTGAATCGCCATGCAATGCCACGGACTCAAGGCTCATGTGAATCGCCATGCAATGCCACAAACTCAAGGCTCATGTGAATCGCCATGCAATGCCACACGGATACTTGTGTTCATCACCACGGACTCAAGACTCACCAAGGTTTGCTGCGAAGACCATGGTGTGGAAGACCTGTGGCGGGGAGTCACCGCAATGACAAGGCATGTGAGAGAGAGAAACGAGGTGATGGGACGGACACATGTGCGTGTGAGAATTCACTCGGGCAACATAAGTGAGTGAGGGCACACGGGAGGGGATAGATGTGCCAAGCACATGTGCTGGATGGGCTTTGCGGACAAACTTTCTCAAAAAAATATCGACAATGCTACATATGTCCATGTGAGGAAGGCGTGGGCTCGCAGCACTTTTGGGGGTGCGCATGGGATGGGGAATTCACGGGTTGGGGCGTTCATTGGATGGGGGTTTCATAAGATGGAAGATTTATGAGATGGGGTGTTCATGGGGATTTCAAAGTTGGGGGATCATGGAATGGGGAGTTCATGGGATGAAGAGTTCATGGGATGGGGAGTTCATGGGATGGGGAGTTTATGGGATGGAGGATAGGATGGATAAGATGGCGCATGCCCATCTCCACCAGCGCCTACCTTTTGGCGCGTCCACTTGCCGTTCTGCACATGGCGGCAGATGCGAATGAGCTGCAGGCGAGCATGGGGGGAAGGGAAAGGCGGGAAGGGAAAGCCGGGAAGGGGCTGGGCATGAAAACGTGGGTCAATCGTTTCCAGCGTGTCATGCATTAAACAGTGAATGATGATGTATTCATCAAGAGTCTGATGGGTGGTTTCAGCAAGAGTCAATGCATATCTCAATGCATGTCTCGCTGCATGTCTTCATTGCATGTCTCATGGCATGATCCATCCGTGTTCATGGCCCGTACCCGTACAGACCTCTTTCCTCACCTGAGCACTGCATTATCGAACGGTCCAGACGACACATGCCTCACCTGAACGGTGCATTATTGAACGGTCCAGATGATAGATGACTCACCTGAACCAGCGCGGTGATCCAGATAACGCCGTCGATTCCCGCCATCACCCAGTTGGTCACCTTTAACGGGTCTGATATGCACTTCCTCGTTCTCCCTATATCGGATATACAATGGGTCCCAGCCACCGCTATAGCGGGGATACACTCCTCGATGAAGCGCCGCATTCCCGACCCTAACGAAGCCAGCCATCGGAGAGACTGCTTCCAGATAACACCTTCCCCAGCCAACCCTCCCCCACCTTCCCCAGCAAATCCTCCCCGATCCAAAACTCCTCCTACCGCACCCCCTCCTCCTCCTGCTGCGCCGCCAGCTTGCCAGTCCCGATGGAAGCCGATCGTTGGCTCGTGGCCGTTGATCAGCGCAGGATGGCCGTCGATCAGTGCTGGCCGACCGTCGATGAGCCCTTGTCGGCCGTCGATCATGGGAGCTGCACCTCCGTCTGTGATTCGGCGAAGGACGTCTGAGGCTACAGGGTTCATGGCGCTAGACTCGGGTTATGCCGCTTGGCTCGGTTGATTGTGCTAGGCTCGGTTCAAGCTCCAGGTTTGATTCATGGCGCTAGGCTCGGTTCATGCAACTAGACCAAAGCGACACATTCACGCGCACGAAGCAATGGCTACCTCTCAAAAATCGACTCAGAAAGCCGTGCCAGATAAGAAATGGGTGGTATCAAAATATAGTAACAACCACTACTACGCGCACGATGGAGTGAGCTACCACTCGCCAACCGTGTCTGGCTGTGGCTGTGGCTATTGCAATAATCCCCAATCGCACCTAGCCTCGGATCCTTCAGCGAAAGTGCACTTCTGCAGAGGGTTGGGAAATCTCCAAACACACGCGAGACGTATGCTGGGCCATGTCAGAAATGAAGTTGTCGTGCGTAATGACTGCAGGAGCAAAGCAGATTGCACTTCGACCGAATTAATCGGTTCCCGTAACGACTTGACGCCTCATAACGAGCAAGCAACTACGCTAGATGCCCAGACCAGTATCCTACTGCTTCGCTATCTCAAGCCTAGCTATTAGCATGACTTCCTTGAAAATGGATGTAAATGTTCGTCATAAGCCTTTGACGCTCTGCGAACTGGAATCTCTGGGAATTGGTGTTTGCCGTGACCTATGATTCTGTCGGACAGCGTCGCTTTTAAATCGCAGAGAGGTGTTCGCGAACACTCCCTGACACAAGCGAAGCTTCTGCGCTAGATGACGATGCCTAGGTTACAACGACGAAGACTGCTGGGTTCGTCGTCACGGAGCTGTGCGAAACGCGGCGACATCTTCCAGCACGCCGACCTCGCCGCTGCAAGCAACCTTTGCTGGAATGCAGCGAGTACGAGCTTGCCATGTCAGACTGCTGGCCTCCACGTGCCCACAGGTTAGGAGATAAACCAGGTACTGGTGGTGAGGTGATGCTGTGGTGGAATACGGTACAGAGCCACTGGAGTTTTTTATGGAGGTGGCATAAATTATTGCATTTCAAAGAGCATCCTCTCTCCACTGGGGCCCGGACCCAAAAAGTCAATTTTAGCTCAACACAAGCGGTTGAGTTCGATATCGCACAGTCCAGAGTGGTCTTATCTCATCACCACTTTGAACCGCTACTCACCAGCCTGAACATCCATAATAAAAGAACGTTAATAATTAAAAGGGTGTTTCGTTACACAAAATGTACGTTCATTATTAATGTTGGCCTCAACCACGAGCTCCGCGGTTCTCGCCTCCTAAATCGCACCATGGGCTACGAGTATGATACAATTATTGCAAAGCGGATCTGTGACGCGCGATGCGCTGCTGAGCGGCCCACACGAACACGTTACTCGTAGGCTCGGACGAAGCAGCTCTAGATAGTGTCGCGCCGCGAACCATAGCTGACGCTGGGCGGGATGTTGGCGGCGTTCCAACACGAACTGGATCCGAGACTCCGATAGTGGTTTGAAAGCGTCGTCCGTACGAGGAGACGGCCGCTGGTGAAACGGACCCGCTGATGGTTCCAGGCTGCGATGCCTCGGATAGTACTGGCCACCGCGGCGACGCATGTCGTGGCACGGGAGAATTTAGGGTTGCCAAAGAAGGAACGCTCTGCCAGCGTGACAGGCTTCTCCGGCTTGTAGCTGCTTCTAATCCCGCAGCCCTCTCAGGAACACTCCCTCGCTTTTCCAGTGTCTCCCGCGTCTCCCGCATCTCCTGTGTCTTTAATGTCCTCCGTGTGGTTGGTGATAATTCAAGAGACTCATAACCCGCCACTTCAAGCTGCGCCGGTCGGGCTTGACAGCGAGCAGCCGCAACCTCCGCCGATGGAAGAGCATTACCAGACGTTTCAGCCGCGGAATATTTGGCAGACGGAATATTCGTGTTTTCGGGTGCAAGAGATGAAGCATCCTCAGGCGTCGCGATGATCGGAGAACTCCGGGAGCGCGCGGGCCGCGCGCCGAGAGGGGAGGTACGTTGGTGCTTTGTAGTACTAGCGGAGCTTCCCGTAGCGAGGTTCCACATTTCCAGACGAAGGTTGATGTTTGAAAAACGACGGCCGACTGACATGACATCCTCCGAGGGTACATGATCGGATGATGCGTCGCCGGCGGAATCATTTAACTCCGCCGACTCGGACTCTGAGGCACCGCCGGCGGCGCCGCGAAGCACCACGTCTGTCTGGCAGGGGAGGACCTCGAACTGCGATACGGCCGTTACGGAGTTGCGCCGCCGCGGGTCGCGGAGAGTCGGCGCCGTGTTTTGTCCCATTGGGAGAATCAGAGGGGATGTATCAGCAGCAATAGCGGTGGGAGCTGATGAAAGCTCTGTCGGTAAGCGTACGATCAAGGATCCCATGAGTTGCAACTGAAGGTACCACAACCTCAGTTTGAAGGCGTCACGAGTGTATCAGTAACTATTTCTGAACTGGTAAGCGAGCCTATTAGGGGAACAGCTTATTCACGCTTTTGCTGAAAACAGAAACAAATGAACAAATAGAACTCGAATGTCTCCTATGTCAACTGAGGGACCGCCTTTTACGTGTTTACGAACGAAGCTGGTGTGCAAGCCCGTAAGGTCAAACAGGAGAAATACTAACGCGAGTAACACCGCTGACCTTCGCTAGGTTTGAATTTTGGAGCCTGAACTCTGGACTTAGCCTGAGGCGCGTGCGACCGGCCGCCCTGGCCATTGGTTCTGAGGAGGTCGGTGAATGATGGCAGATACAGCGGTGCAGCAATTCCAGCCGCGTCGGCACACAGTGGCTTCTCGCCTAACGCGTTCGCGGTTCGACACTCGTGACGGGCCTGAAAATCCAGCTGTCGGACGGGAGGAAAGGAAAGTCGTCGTCCGCCTGATCTAAAACAGTCAAGACTACTTGCCATTCGACGCGTGTGTGCGTGATGTGCTGGAACCTGCAAATAATGGTTTGTGGGTGTTTGCATTACGGTGATTGGTGGAGCAGTTTATGGACCGATTTCCCGCCAACAAGAAGCTAGAAGAAGCTTATGGCTTGTGTGAGGCAGTGGGGTGGGGGAGGGTAGTGGAGTGGAGGAGCCCGCCCAGCTTCACAACGAACCTTTTGAACACATCCCGCCTGTGGGGGGGCCATCATCAGGCATGAGTTGACGTGCGCGCGTGAGTTCAGCTGAGTACAGACAAGCTTCAATACATTTAGCTGGCAATAACAAGACACAGCACTAGAACGAGGAGAAGCAGTGCAACAGAACCACAAGTGGCTGCGGAGAATTGCGGTACCGCTAGGTCTGGTTCGGCTAGACAGGGTTGAGGAGATTGAAGCAGTTTTGGTCGCGTTGTCGCTTTTCCGAGCAAGAAACCAAAAGTCAAATGTTAACCCGGTAAAACGTTTGGATATCGATAGGAACCATATTGCACCTCTCATAACACAACAGCTTCAAGCCACCCATCCCATCAACTTGGCTTCACAGGATGATGTCATTCCCTCCCTCCTCCCAAGTCCCAAGTCCAGACCAAGTGCGGCGGGCAACCCCAACCACGACAAATTGCCAGTTGGCGCCGCGTCAAACCCACTGTTTGAAACCACGTACAGCTGATGCTCACCCCATGCGCGCGAATTTGCCTTGCGCCGGATGGACACGCTGTACCCGAGGTTGTTTCCCCAGCTTCATGCACCCACATTACAAGCGCGTCAAGCAGAAGAGACCGAAGTCAAGCAGAAGAGACTGAAGTCAAACTAGGTAACTAGGTAGCAGGGTCTTGTTTATAAGCACATGCGAATTCTTTTTAGCTAGCTGCGAAATTGACGAACTTATGCGAAACGCACGATACAGCTTATATGCCCCCTTCACAAGGCAACCGGGAGGGGCTCAAACAGGCATCAGGAGTATAGTGCGCGCTGCAGAGTCGCGCGATGGGTTTGGATGAGATGGGTTGGATTGGGTGCGCGAGGAATGAAGGGAAGTGAACAGAAGGAAACTTCCCTTGACCAAATATCCAAGAGGGCACCCTCCCACGCACGAACAAGAATGAGAGGTGTTGTACAAGGTTGGGTGTTCATTCAATTGGGTGTAAACCAGATATCCAGCTTATCCCACATCACATATTCACAAAAAGCAGACCCCCCCAAACCACGTAGATGTTGTATGATATGAACGCATGCATGCACGTCGGACTTTGAAGCATTACTAGCTGTGTTAGCTCTGAGTTGATACTTTTTGGTTTATTCCAAAAACCAGCCTAAAAGTTGGTGGGGGATCACTTGGGAGCAGTGGGTCGTCTTCTGCCTGGCGGTGGCCTGAGCGGGACACTCATGATATCCATGGCTGCTGGCACTGAGCCAGAACGACAAGGTCGATGATACCCGAGCTTCCCTGTATTGTTCCCTCCCATACCGGAACCTCCATCTGTGGTTCCACATCTTTGCTTGGAGCCAAGGGCGGTTGTTGACCCTTGGTGTTGCCGAGCGGGAGTATCTCTCTGCCATGGTCCGTTGTGGTTTCCCAGGGGCACCACGGTTCCAGTCCTCTGCTTCGCCGAGTAGGTTTCGATACTGTCACCATCTAGCAGCTGCCGCATGTCTATTGCACTTCCGTAGCGCTGAATCGTCCCGCCGTCTTTCCAGCGCACCTGAAATAGCAAACCGGCAGCGTTAGTACTTGAACCCCGTCAATGTAGAAGTTTCATAATACGAGTGTAAAAAAAAACCGGAGAGTCGACAAAACAGATCGGAGAAATTCCGGCAAGGCAGGTAAGCGAGTCACCTGATTTGTCGATTGGTCGCCAGCTAGACGAAGCATCTCCTGCATCCACTCCTCGTCCATTTCCCCCTCGCCGTTGCCTTCGATGTGAATTCTTCTGCCCGTTTCCGGCTGACATGCCATCGCGCGTAGTGTCCAACCGTCAGCTGTCCCGGATCTGTGTCCATCGCAAGACAAAATAATCACGACGTGGGTATACCAAACATACCAGATTACGGCCTTACGATCGCAAAGCAATTTTAAGCTCATGTGGGCCACCGTGGCCGTTGCCCGTGATATCTGAAACATGAGAGACTCGTTCCTGACCTGGAGAGATGCCGGCCGAGGTTATCAGCGCTGCGAGCCTTAGACGGCGGAAGGTTGGCGACGCCGTTGACGACCAAGTCGGAGAAGCCGTCGGTGACTTTGGGAGCTCGGCAGCTGCTCGTCATGCTCTTGGCGTGCCGCTTCCAGCGACCCAGCTCGCGCAGGATCTGCTTCCATACCCGACCTGCCACGCCAAGCAAACCGTGTGATGCAACACACATGAATCAAGAATGGTACAACGCGAGTCATAATGATTAGAAAAGCGCGTGTTCCAGTGTAACTCACTGATTCGCAATCTCATGCAGATCAGCTGTTATGGAGCTGTCCCGTCTTGAAGCGCTATTTCGGCTCGAAAAATGTTATCCTTATACAACGACCCGTCTTGTACAGAAATCAGTATGGTGAGCGGCGTATGCCTATTCTAGTAGACCTAAATAGACCATGGAGTGACGATGGAGACGTTATTTTAGTCGGTCAGGAAGGTGACGGGTGATATTGACTCGGATATCAGGAGGCTACTTCTAGCCGTTTCGAAAACTTATGAATACGATTGTGGTACCAAGACACTAATACAGGTGACTCTAATCGTGCTTCAAGAAGGTGAAGCGAAATGCGGCCAAGGTAACTTTCCATATCGCCGCGGAAAAGAGGATGAGGCACAGCGGCAGCGTCCCAGCAAGGCTCAGGAAAGCGCTTCCTGACATGCGGATGGACGAGGCGCTGTTTTGGTGGCTTCTTTTTGTAGTCTGGAGGAGCTATGGCGGCCGAAAAGGTGACAAGTTTGAGCGGCAAACAGGGCGGTTCGCCGCCGTGAGCAGAAGGACGGTGTTTCGTTGTTGGCGAACTCGATGCAATTTATGAGTTTCGAGAAATAAGTTTTGCAATCACGCAAATGCTTTTATAAGCACGCATACTAAACTGCTTCACAATACAGATAACATACCAATGAAGATAACATACCAATGAACATACCTAAATCATCTAAGGGTTAAAAAATAATCACCCTGGGGGTTTACAGTACGTCTAGTTTAGTGTTAGACGATTAATGTCCACCAAAAAGGCCCAAAACCAGGCTACGATATTGCACATTTTCAGTCATCCTTGTAACGAAACAGGGCGTCCCGAGGCAATTCACCCTCAACCCTTCAGCCCTGTCCCCTCCCTTCACCTGTACACACTCAACTCCTTGCGCAAATATATGCTCGCTCCCTGCTGGTATTTTTGCGAGATTAGCGGAAGGTGGGCACTTTGAACTGGTTACTTTGTCGCATTTATATCGTGTTCGTTACGCGTACCTGCTCTTTCTGCTCCTGATCTCCCACCGATCGGACAGCGCTTGTCCTTTTCTCGTGTTCGTCGCGATCATGACTGCCGTTCGTGCCTTGGAGCACGCCGTACTCGCTACAAGCGTCTCCTATAGTACGACGCGTCAACCGATAGCGCATCTCAGCTGCTCCTGTAGCCTGGGATCTGTGCTTCCCCGCAACGCGCGGCTATCAGTCGCTGCTTGCCCTGCGACGCCTGCGACACCTGCGACGCAGTCCCGGAGGCAGTTTTGTCGTGCGGTTTCTGCGAGGGCTGCAGCGGATGACGCCACGAATAGCGGAGATAGCGACACGTCAAATGCGGCGCCAGTGCCGGCCCTATCGATGAAGAAGGCGTCGCTGAAAGCGCGGCAGCAGACGTACCAACAAACGCCTGAGGAGACTGGTAAGAGACGAATGGCGGGATCTAGCGCAAAGGACAGGTGTTCTCGTAGAAAATAGAAGCGCCAATTGCGCTGCAGTAGGCATACCAACAAAGGTTACTGGTGCTTGTGAGATGTATTGCACCCGATTTTAGCTCAATGCTGTAACAGGGACGTTGTAGCAGGGAGGCTGTAGCAGGGAGGTTGGCTGTAGCGGGGAGGTTGGCTGTAGCGGGGAGGTTGGCTGTAGCGGGGAGGTTGGCTGTAGCGGGGAGGCTGTAGCGGGGAGGTTGGCTGTAGCGGGGAGGTTGGCTGTAGCGGGGAGGCTGTAGCGGGGAGGCAGTAGCGGGGAGGTTGTAGCCGGGAGGCTGTAGGATGGAGGCTGTAGCGGGGAGGTTATAGCAGGGAGGTTTTACAGGTATCATATCATTAGCACATATCATCCGCGATGTCAGCAGGCTCTTGAGGGTTGTAGGGGCTCAGATTGGTTCTATGAAGTTGTGTCGGTGTTGCTTGGGTTCGTTTTCCTGTATGGGGGATGAGATGTGCGGAAATATGGACAAGCATGGCTCATTCAGTCACAATTTCCCTCAGGTACCAAGTAGCAAAGCATGGGTCCATCATCATGTATCACCTCAGGTAGGTACCTCGTGAGTCGTGACACACTTTTCATCATGTATCCCCTCATTTTTAATCTCGTCGCTTTTCCCCCATCCAGTGTTCCGCGTCTTAAAAAAAAAAAAAAAAAACCTGAAGTACCGGTTTTTTCTTTCATCATCTTGCAGTGTACCTTCACTCTGTGTTTTGTTTGTATCCGCCACACAGACCAACTCGATACCATCCTGGACCTCGAGCTTCAGAGCGCGTTCGACGTACCTCCACGTAAGCATGGCAGTCTCCCCTGCTTGCTCTTTCACCGAGTTCTTGTGTTACTTCTTACCAGTGTGCGTCGCGTCGTTTCATCGGGGTGCAGATTTACTTTACAGTCTCGTAGGCCCTGCACCAGTCGATTTTTGAGGTGCCTGAAAATATACTTTACAGTCCTGTCCTGTAGGACCTGCAGCAGGCAGACAGCAGGCAGACAGCAGGCTGACTGCAGGCTGCCTGCGTCTCTTTGTTTCGTTGGTGCTGAGTTGAGACGGATGTGCTTTGCATGCATGCATGCATGCTGCTTGGTTTCGCAAGCTCATTTGCAGAACCTTGCCGAAAACCGCACTCCACCGCTTTTGAGACCCGGCGTAACCCATCAGACCATACTTCACTGCGAATTGGAAGATATGGTACTGCGTGTATGGATTACACCCACCACCACCACCGCCCGGCGCTGTCCCCCTTCCCCCCACCCATCCCTCCCGCAACCCACACCACTTCTCAAGCATTTTTCTACTCAATTGCAAAGATGTCACGTTCCCCCTCCCCTCTCTCCCCCCCTGCAGTTCCCGTCCTCCATTTCCCCCCCTTTCCTTTCTTCCCCTTTTCCGCTGCCCCTTCCCTCCTCCCCCTCGCCCTCCCCCTTTTCCTCCCCCCTCCCTGCCAGGCCACTATGAGATGATATTCCTGGTGCACGAGGGGCGCACGGACGAGACTCCTGCCGTCATAGAGAAGATCACAGGTGGGTGATGGATGGCTGTGGGGCGCAGATGGGGTGCAGGTTGGGTGCATGTCAGTATAATGGCATCGGATGTTACTGTGATTCTAATGGCTGTTACTCCTTGTGTGATTATGCATGTGCCTACGGGTGTGGGAATCAGTGTGGCTCGTTTTCCTTTGTGTGATGGATGGTGGCTGTGTGCCTTATCACACAGAGAGCTGCACACTCACCTTTCCCCTTCACCTCCCATTTCCGTTCCCACCTGCCCCTCTCCCCCTTCTACGAATTCCGACACGCTCAGGCATGTCCCATCATCCCTTTCCCTCCCCTCCCCTTCTCCCCTCCGCTCCCCCTCCCCCTCCCCCTCCTCCTCCCTTCGTGCAGAGATGGTGAAGGATGCTCGAGGAACAGTGTGGAGGGTGAACGACTGGGGCATGAGGCGCCTGGCATACCGCATTCAGAAGACATGGCAGGCGCAGTACATTCTCATGAACATCGAGGTTCCCTCGGATAAGATTGCAGCGATTGAGAAGGTTCTGCTGCAGGACGAGAGGGTGATTCGGCACCTTGTGACGAAGCAGGATAAGGCGGAGAGGAAGGATTACCCAGCTCCGGTGATGTACAATGCGGTTGGGAGCGGTGGGGATGAGTCGGATGATGATGAGGATGAGGAGGAGGATGAGGATGACGAAGAGGATTGGGAGGATGAGGATGAGGATGAGGAGGACGAGGAGGAAGAGGGGGAGGAGAGTGAGGGAAAGAGGTTACCAGCAGAAGTGACAAGTCGTAAAGCCTAGAGGATGATTGGTAGAAGATGAATAGCTGATTGGTGTTGCGCATTGTGAAAACACCGCTGGCAACACCTCAGGGCTTGTGATGTGATGTATGGAGAAGAGGACAGATTGAGGAGGACGGGGAACAATGGAAGACGAGTGTTGTTAATGAGTAATGTGATAGATGGCTCATTTGATTGGTCCATATTAAAGGTAGACTCATTTCTGAAAATGTGTTTCTCTTTCTGGCAGTTCAATTCTTGGTTTCCTTAACCAATCTACCATAACCCTAAACCCATTATCTGGTTTGGTGGCAAATTCTTACAGACTTTATACTGCGATATCAATACACTAGAATTTAGTACACGAACAAATAACCTGTTCGCTAATTCGGCAGCGTTGAGCCACCCCTCAATCACGAACGGTAACCTGCACGCTTGAGGCGATTGTTTCGCCCCAGGCAGATCCGTGAACCACCCTTACCTCCCCTCCTCTCCCACTTCCCCCCCTACCGCTGTATGCTGCTGCCTCATCAAAACTAGGGTTTCCCTTCCCTGCCTTTGTCTTTCACAGCGGTCTTCCTCATTTTCGCTAGGACGTAGCTTGTTTCTTGTTTCCTGTTTCCTGTCTCCACTGTGACTAGGGTGTAGTTGTTGCGGGTTCTTGGTTAGGAGCTGCGTAAGGCCGTAGTGGTGTGACCGTGAGCTCATGCGGAGCTGTGATAATCTGGTCGACTTGGATTTCGTGAAACCGGCAGCGCTGAAGTCCCCAGCAGGAAATGCCCCTTGCCGAAAGAAGGGGGAAATGGGAAGCAATGACGAGTCAGAGCGAAAGAAGCGGCCATCAGCAGCGGGAAGCATCATGTCGCCTCCTGCTAAAAGACCATCGCTATCGTGTCTCGGTGACGAGAAGAAGGTGTGCCTTCTCCAGGTTTTCAATTACCGTTTATTTTCCCGACTTTACCTACGTTTAAGTACTAGCCGGGTTCAGTCTTCTTAGTCACTCTTTCCGTCTCCTATGGCCAGATCGACCCGTCAGTGCTTCAGTTTCAGAACCAGAAGCTGAGTCAGCAGTTGGAAGTCCAGAAGGAGCGAATCCATGAACTGGAGTCGCGGTTCGAGGATCTCAAGGCACGGCAGTCAGACTACGATGATACACTGATGACAGTCAACAGCGCGTGGAACCAGGTTCGGCTTTGCAAGTCCGCACCTTGATTGGGAGCGTTTGGTCGCCATGCATTAGATCTTGAGGTAGCAAGGTGGATTTCTGACGTCTTTCTGTTCCCTTTTTTAACAGCTAGTTGACGATCTGGAGATTCTGGCAGTTAAGGCGAATGCTGGGCTTAACGGTCTTCAGCAAATGTCTAATGCCACTCCTCTTGAAGGTAACTCGTCGAATATCTTGAGTTCTGTGTGATTTACCTTCAGATCCATGCTTCCTAAATTTTACCCTAATTTTGGTTGCCGGTTTTTTTTCCTCTTCTGTCAGATAGAGGGGATTCAGATGGTCCTTCAGAAAGCATTTTTCTTCGGAAGCTGTTACAAGCGAGTCCGAAGGTCGAGGACGAAGGGAATGCGAGGAAGAAGCTTCATTCCGCGTTACAAGCTCGGAGCTCGCAAACGTATAAGGTCCTCAAATGCATAGTGCAAGCCGTCGATCAACAAAGACTACGAAACGAGGAATTGGCAGTCTCCTTGAAAAAGAGTCTAAGTTCAGACGGTACGTAATTTTCATATTATTCAGCTATACATCCTTCCCTCTTCCGTTCAAGATTCGGGCTTTGACAGATGTTTTTCCCGACATTTTTCATTTTCTACCTCCCGTTTTGCTCGAGGCAGAAGCTGCAGAGCTATTAAGATCGACGCATGAGGAGTTCAGATCCGAAGTGTCGCACATGCGAGCTAAGATGGACGAGATGCATCTGCAACACAGAAGCCTGTCATTGGAGCTCTCGGAAATCCGGGACTTGAACGCCAAGAGCCAAGCAGAAGTCCGGAGAGTTTCAGGTGAGAAATTTCACTAGGTAAGCTTCGTCCAGGGTAGGACCGATTACTCGGTAAGCTTCGCCAAGGGTAGGACTAACTACTAGGTAAGCTTCGTCTCTAAGGCTTGTAGGGAAGGTCTTAACATTTACTGGGGTCGGACTGGGGTTGCTGCATTGGCGTCAGACGCGCGAACTCTGCGATTTTCTAACGCATTCCGTTATCCTCCCTAGCGCATTCCGTCAACTCCCCTAGCGCATTCCGTCTTTTCCATGGGACCCGCATCTGGCGTTTCCGTCACAGATCATCTCGAGGATTCCCTCATGCATCTGAAATCAACGAGGCGAATTCGGCCATTTTATAAGCGTATTCCGTCATCTCCCCTAACGCATTTCGTCACCCCATTGGAACCCGCATCTGGCATTTCCGTCACAGATCATCTCGAGGATACCCTCATGCAGCTGGAATCAACAAGGCGGAAACTCGTCGCGGCGAAGCAGTCCGCTGCGTCGTCTGGGCCCGGCGCGTTTCCCGCGTCTCCGTCGCTTGTGAAGTCGGATTCGAGAGACGGGGGGCAGGAGAGCAGGATCGCGTCTGGGGAGGCCCGTGAGCTTGAAGCTGCACTTGAGGAAGCGAAGGTGAGAAATGCGTCGTTGTTTCTGATTTGTATGCTTGCATTAACGTTCACACGAGACGAGAGCTTTATCGTTCACACGAGACGAGAGCTTTTGTGACGGAGTTTCGTGTGTGAATTTATGCGATTCTGCATTTTTTTCTGTTTTTCAGAAGCTTTCCGCTCAACGCTTGACTGAGATTGAGGACAAGCAGCAGACGATACTGGAACTGAATCAGAAGCTACGAGAGTACCAGGTTTGTGTTCCCTTACACTAATATCACGGGAATGCCAAGATTAGGGTTTGTTGATATGGTCACATTCAGCCCCCAAAGCATGTCTCATTCCAGCCTTTTAACTGTCTTTCGGCCTCCCTTTCGTAACCTCATCAACTTCTCCTCTTGCGTTGTCCCTTCTAGCCTCCTTCACACTCCACCTAAGCGCATCGGTTCTCCTCCTAAAAGATAAGCCTCATCTTCCCTGCATCTGCACAGTCAGTGTTTTGAGACGTCCGAAAACTCTTTCCCTTTTCCTGGCAATGAGGCATAATGAAGCGCATATCCTTCCCGCACCCGTGCAGTCAGCGTCAGAAGACGAGCAGCGCATCAAGTCATCACGGCCCTACTCGATTCTGGCGGAGCAGCTCATCGCAGCCAGAGCGGAAGCTGAGAGGAACCGGTTGATTCTCGAGCAGCTGCAAGTGAGTTTCCCATCCCCCTCTCCTTCCGCCATTTTCAGTTTCCACCAACCCTCTGCCTCCCGTTCCACCTAACTGCATACCGCGCTTTCAGTCGCACCCCACGAGACGCGCATGTCTTCTTGAATCGTGACAAGTCACCAGTTCCCCCACCCCCGCTAGCGTGGTGTCAGCTCATGTACTAGTCCTGACACGAATTCCTCTCTGCGTGTTCCGTGGGGCCATGGCGGCAGAGGGAGAGGGACGCGAGCAATTTTTGAGTCGACTCAAAAGTCACCTCAGTTCCCCCACCCCCGTTAGCACTGGTCTCAGCTCATGTACCAAGTCCTGACACGACGTATCCCCTCTCTGCATGTTCCGTGGGTCCATGGCGGTGGCGGCACAGAGGGAGAGGGACGCGAGCAGTCTGCGCGAGAAGGACATGGCGTTCCGCGCGGAGGCGGGCGACGCTGCGCGGAGGGCGTGCCAGCTGGCGGAGGCGAGGGTGGAGGAACTGGAGAAGAAGCTGGAGCACGCGTGCAGGGAGCGCGACGTGCTGCAGCAGCGATTGGAGGAGGCGCACTCGTCTCTTGGTACGCTGTGTGGCATGGGGGGGAAAGTCGGGGTTGTCTTCTGTATTATTTTTAAGAGAAGCTCGAGCTCGCGTGCAGGGAGCGCGACGTGCTCCAGCAGCGGTTGGAGGAGGCGCACTCGTCTCTTGGTACGCTGTGTGGCATGGGGGGGGGGGGAAGTTTGGGGTTGTTTTCTGTTTTATTCTGAAGAGAGGCTCGAGCACGCGTGCAGGGAGCGCCCTGAGGAGGCGTGAGACGCTCTGAGACGCTCCCTGCACGCGTGCTGCTGCAGCAGCGCCCTGAGGAGGCGCACTCGCCGCTGGATAGGCTGTGTGAAATTCACGTGTGGCGGGGTAGTGCATTGCGGTGGTGATCCATTTGTGGGTACAGTTCAATTTGCTGTACTTGGGATTAGTATAGCTTGGGATTCAGGTAGTCCTGACCTGCATGAAGCTGACGGTGAAAAGCGCGGTGAGTGTGTGGTGTGTGTGGTGCGTGGTGTTGTGTGAATGGTGTTGTGCGAATGGTTTGTGTTGAGGGTGGCAGGGAGGAAGGAGACGGTGGCGGAGCTCAAGGTGATGATAGCGACGCTGCACAAGGAGATGAGCATGATGCAGGCGCAGCTCACCAAGCATAAAGACGCCGCGCAGCAGCTCATCACACTGCGCGCCGATAACGAGTCCCTCAAGTCCGTCCTCAGTAGAAAGGTGAGTTGATCTTCCCTCCCACGCACCAGCCACACATTTAGATTAGCATGATGCAGGCGCAGCTCACCAAGCATAAAGACGCCGCGCAGCAGCTCGTCACACTTTGTGCTTATTATCGAGTCCCTCAAGTCCCTCAAGTCCCTCAAGTCCCTCAAGTCCCTCGAGTCCCTCGAGTCCCTCAAGTCCCTCAAGTCCCTCGAGTCCCTCGAGTCCCTCAAGTCCCTCAAGTCCCTCAAGTCCCTCAAGTCCCTCAAGTCCCTCAAGTCCCTCAAGTCCCTCGAGTCCCTCAAGTCCCTCAAGTCCCTCAAGTCCCTCGAGTCCCTCAAGTCCCTCAAGTCCCTCAAGTCCCTCAAGTCCCTCAAGTCCCTCAAGTCCCTCAAGTCCCTCAAGTCCCTCAAGTCCCTCGAGTCCCTCGAGTCCCTCAAGTCCCTCAAGTCCCTCGAGTCCCTCGAGTCCCTCAAGTCCCTCAAGTCCCTCAAGTCCCTCAAGTCCCTCAAGTCCCTCAAGTCCCTCAAGTCCCTCAAGTCCCTCAAGTCCCTCGAGTCCCTCGAGTCCCTCGAGTCCCTCGAGTCCCTCGAGTCCCTCAAGTCCCTCAAGTCCCTCGAGTCCCTCGAGTCCCTCAAGTCCCTCGAGTCCCTCAAGTCCCTCAAGTCCCTCAAGTCCCTCAAGTCCCTCAAGTCCCTCAAGTCCCTCAAGTCCCTCGAGTCCCTCAAGTCCCTCAAGTCCCTCAAGTCCCTCAAGTCCCTCAAGTCCCTCAAGTCCCTCAAGTCCCTCAAGTCCTTCCCTAGTGAAAAGAATGAGCTTTTGTACCAGCTGTGTCATTGTCTGCCCAAGGGCAGCCGTTTTTGTCTGCTGCCATGTCATTGTTTCGTCGTACTGCAACCGGGCTGGCCTGCTTATCATCCCCCTTTGGCTGTGCGCCGTGTGATTGTTCGTCCCTGCAGGCTAAAGAGATAGAGCAACTAGGAAAACGAATTTTCTCCCAAGTGTCAGAGCAGAAGGCGTTGAAGGCTGAGGTATGTCATGGAAACTATCTGCATGATTGTACGTGATTCTGTCTATCTGCATGTTCCTGAATCCTCATGATTAATAGGATGTGGCGGTCCCCCTTCCATACCTCCTTTCAGTTCTCCTTCCATTCCTCCTTCCTTCCGCCCCTTCCCCATCTTTGCTGCATCTGCCGGCCTGCATTGGTTTGACCTCTTTTATGGGTGCAATGTGACGGCGTGTGCCACTGCTGTAGGTGGCGCAATTGAAGAGCTCCGAGTGCGAGCTGCAGATGTTCATGGACATGTTCGAGCGCGAGTCCACTGATACCAGGCAAGTCAACATTTGAAACAAAGACTTCCATTCAGACATGTTCGAGCGCGAGTCCACTGGCACCAGGCAAGTCAGCGTTTGAGAGTTGTAGTCCATAGCGAGTTTCTCTCACACGAGGACCTCTTAGTGCGAGCTGCAGATGTTCATGGACATGTTCAAACGCGAATCCACTGACACCAGGCAAGTTTATCCCTGTCTGTTGACCTACCTAATGTCCATCCAAACATTTGAGGCACCTCAAAGACACGGTTAAAGAGCTTTGAGTGCGAGCTGCAGATGGTCATGGACATGTTTGAGCGCGACAGCACTGACGTTAGGCAAGTCAACGGGTGAGAGTGTTAGAGAGTACATGAAAATCTTCCACATGTGACAGCACTGAACGTCTCAGTGCGAGCTGCAGATGTTCATGTTCGAACGCAAGTCTACTGACACCAGGCAAGTTCACTCCTACCTACTTTTTAGGCGCCTCAAAAGTCGCTTGTGAATTGAGTAGCCCGGAGTGTGAGCTGCAGCGCAGGCGCCGACGTCAGAACTGTAGCCTCACCTCCTTCGCTCTGGATCTTTCCCCATCCTCGCGCCTCCCGCCCCCCCTAATCCTTGGCTCCCCCTTCCCCCCCCCCCCCACCCTCCGCAGGGACATGAAGGAGGTGAAGGCGGCGGAGGTGCGCGCGTTGGCGCAGGTGGCGCAGCTGGGCGCGGAGCTGGACGAGCATGGGCTGGTTGTCTGGTCACTTCTGAACCCATATACCGTTCCCCTTTCCCCCCTCTCCCCTTCCCACCCCCCACAGGGACATGAAGGAGGTGAAGGCAGCGGAGGTGCGCGCGTTGGCGCAGGTGGCGCAGCTGCGCGCCGAGCTGGACGAGCACGGGCTGGCGCTGCGCGTGAAGGCGGCCAACGAGGCGGAAGCGGCGTGCCAGCAACGGCTGGTGGCAGCAGAGGCGGAGATCAGCCAACTGCGGCAGCAGCTGGACGAGACGGAGAAGTAGGTGCTCTCGGTGTGGTACTGGGCTCATAGGTGCCATTATCAGCCAGTCTAACAGCCGGACAGTAGCTTGAGCCCTTATGGTTTGGCTGCCATGCGGCCGCTGTTGGTAGCAGCAGCGTGCCAGCCATGGCTGGTGGCAGCAGCTAGTGGAGACGGAGAAGCAGATGGTGTCCGTGTGAACGTGGGCTCATAGGTGGCATTATGTGTCAGTCTAACATCCGGACAGTAGCTTCATCCCATCTGGTTTGGCTGCCATGCGGCTGTGGGTAGCATTGTGCCAGCAGTGGCTAGTGGCAGCAGGGGGAGGTCAGTCAGCTGCAACAACAAGAGCGAGGGAGAGTGGGTGTGCGCATGACATGATCCTAGCTGCTGGGTTTCGCCCAGCTGTGCTGTAGCTGTAGTTGAAGCTGTCGATGTTTGAGTCTTCAGCTGTGCAGAGAGTTTGCCCCTTGTTGTTCTTCTTACCCTCGTGATCTTCCCTTGGTCTCACCTCCGCCCATCTCTCTCTGCCACGTCTCCACGTGTGCTGCAGGAGAATAGTAGAGCTTCAAGAGACGGTGAAGGCGAAGGAGGAGGAGGGAGAGGCGTACATTACCGAGATAGAGGTCCGTATTCCTTTTGTTCTTGCACAGAAGTCTGTTGGATTGTGCACAAGTCTGCAAGGTGAAGGCACAGGCTAGCCTGCTCCCGGAGTCATCACCCCGAGTTGCAATCACGTGGCTGTGCCTCCTTTGGCTGCCAGAATGATGTCACGCTCATGTTGCTGCCATGTCATAACCGCACTCTCCTTTTCCCAGAGCTCAGCTGCGGCACTCTACCAGCACATTTATATTTAGAAAAGGCATGTACTCCCTGTCGCCCCGCTGACCATAGGAGTAGCCAACGAGGAGTTGCAGTCGCAGAACCGGTGGGTTCAATGCGTCAATGTTGTTAATTCTTCGTTCCCTCCCTCCCTCTCCCTCTTTCCCCACAGACCATAGGAGCGGCCTACGAGGAGATGCAGTCGCAGAACCGGCGGCTGCTGCAGCAGATATCGGAGCGGGACGAGTACAACACGCAGCTCATCGCGGAGGGCGTCAAGGCCCGCCAGCTGCAGGCGTCGCTGCAGGCGGAGAAGCAGAGCATGGAGACGCGCATGCAGCACGCCACTGCCGCTGCGGACGTGCACAAGCAGCGGGTGGTGCGGTTGGAAGAACAGGTATGTAGGGGGGTTTGGATGGGTGTGGAGGTGTGTGGAGAGGTATTTGGAGGAATTTGGAACGTAGCAGTTCAATTTTTGAGGAGTATGCTGATGTGCCGGTAGGCCAGGCAGCTGCAGGCGGAGAAGCAGAGCATGGAGACGCGCATGCAGCACGCCAGTGTTGCTGCTGACGTGCACAAGCAGCAGGTGGTGTGGCTGGAGGAGCAGGTGTAGAAGGGTGTGCCAATGTGCAGGGGAATGTGGAGGAGTGCGCAGGTGTGTAGATGTGAAGGAATTCGCAGGTGTGCAGGGGTGTGGAAGAGTGTGCAGTGCAGGTAGGCCAGGCAACAGCTGCAGGTGAACAAGCTCAGCATGGTTACACTCATGCAGCACACTATCACCTCTGCTGATGTGCACGCGCAGCAGATGGCAACGAGAGCAGGTGTGGGGAGGTATGGGGAGCAGGTATGGGGAGCAGGTATGGGGAGGTATGGGGAGCAGGTATGGGGAGCAGGTATGGGGAGCAGGTATGGGGAGCAGGTATGGGGAGGTATGGGGAGCAGCTATGGGGAGGTATGGGGTCCAGGTTTAGCGAACCTGTAGCGAACCTGTCTCGTCCAGCACACATGGGAGCAGGTTGGATGTCAAGGACGCGAGGGTCATGAATGGAATTTTTTAGGCGCCTCAAAAGTCGCCAGGGGCATGGCGGGAATTCTTTACGCGCCTCAAAAGATGGCAGCTGCATGGCGAGGATGTGGAGAAGTGAGAAGGATGGAGGCGCAGAGGCAGATGCAGCAGACAGCCCGCGTATCCTTTTCCACCCCCTTCCCTTCCACCCGCTGCTTCTCCATCTGCCATACCTTCCCTACCTTCCCCCCCTCCCCCTCCTCCTCCTCTCTCCCCCTCCCTCTCTCCCTACTCCTTTCCTCCCTTTCTCTGCACGCGTGCAGGTGAAATTGGTGTACGAGCAATTGGGGAAGGCGGTGGAGGGCACAATTTAATTATCTTCCACCCTTCTCCCACCCCCTTACTCTCCCTCTGTTCACACACTCGCGAGCAGGTGAAGGCGGCGTGGGAGAGCTGGGGAAGGCGGTAAAGGGCGCGAGGGGCATGGCGGGCAGAATTGTGAAGCTTCTGTCTTCCCCTTCTCCCTTCCCCCTTCTCCCTTCCCCCTTCTCCCTTCCCCCTTCCCCCTTCCCCCTTCCCCCTCCCCCTCCCCCCCAACCGTGCGCACGTGTGCAGGTGAAGGCGGCGTGGGAGCAGCTGGGGAAGGCGGTGGAGGATGCGAGGGGCATGGCGGGGAGTGTGGAGGCGGGCAAGCGCAAGCAGGCGGAGATGGAGAGGGAGACGGCGGCTGCTAGGGAGGCCATGGAGGGGCTTCAGAAGGACCTGAGTTCGCGGAACACACAGATGGTAGAGGTGGAGGAAAAGCTGGAGAGCGAAAGGTGGGTTGGCATTGGCGTGTATTTGTTTTGGGAACCAGGGAGGAAGTGTGTCTATGAAATGATAAAGGTGCAGGTGGTGGAGGTGGAGGAGAAGCTGGAGGGCGAACCATTTCTCAAGCGTGTAAATGATTCCATCCGTTCACGCTTGCCGTCCTGCCCTTTCTCTCTGCAGGAACAAGCGGAGGCGAGTGGAGGAGGAGAGGGACGCTTTATCTGCACGACTGGCGAGGCTGGGGCAGTCGATGGAGCGGGGCGGGGGGTCGGGGGGCCCATCGGTGGAGCAGCTGCAGGAGGAGCTGCGGCAATACAAGTCCATCATGAAATGCTCCGTGTGCCACGACCGACAAAAGGAGGTGAGTTTTCATGAGCCGTCGTCGTGAGGTTCATGATGCGGTGCCACCTCTGAAAAAGATGACGCTCGTTAAGTGCCTTATATAGCATCTCTGACTTAAAATACACCACCCCTTGAGAGCTTATTCGATCCCAGGAAGACAGAACCTCCTTGATGAGACCCTAATGATGTTTGTGAGGTGCCCCAAAAGCCGCGACGATGTTCTATACATGCTGTTGACGCCGACGGTGATGGCAAAGCTGTCATGTGGGATTGAGAGGTTCTCGCTGAGTCTTGAGTCGACTCAAAACTCGGCTAATTACACGAGGTTTTTTTTTTTTTGAGTCGATCAAAAAAATGATGGCGACAGTAATGGCAAACCTGTCATGTGGGATCGAGAGGTGCTCGCTGTGATCCTGGAGGGTCTGTGTCAGCACAATTGATGTGTATGAAGTACCCCTGTTCCTCTTCCATTCCCCCTTCCCCCACCGTCCGCCCCCCCACTGCTCTCTCCCTCCCTCTCCCCTGTCCGTCAAGTTGACAGGTGGTGATTACCAAGTGCTTCCACCTCTTTGCGCACTTTGCATTCAGGGAAACTTAGAACTTAGAGCTGCAGCTGCAGCGTTGCAAGGCCACATTCAAATAGCTCCTGCTTTTGCTTCCCTCCCCTCCTCCCACAGGTGGTGATAACCAAGTGCCTCCACCTCCTCTGCTCGCCCTGCATCCAGAAGAACCTAGAGCTGCGGCTGCTTGAATCAATCTTGAATAGCCCCTGATTCTCCATCCCCCCCATTTCCCGCCTCGCCCACCCTCACTGCCCCCCCTACTCACAGGTGGTGATAACCAAGTGCTTCCACCTCTTCTGCTCGCCCTGCATCCAGAAGAACCTAGAGTTGCGCCATCGCAAGTGCCCTGGCTGTGGTGTGCCCTTCGGCCAGAACGATGTCAGAAACGTGTACATCTAGCCCTCCATGTGATGGGGTGCGACGCGGTGCGGTGCAGTGCGATTTGATGCGTTCCATACTCTGCCGGTTTAGATTTTACGAGGCTGCAGTGCAGTGCCTTCAAAACACGCCGTTGGTTAGCTCTCGCGTTGAGATGCACCTAATGTACACATGAGACTGCTTTTCTGCCTTGCTGATACTGGGTAGGATGGCAGCAGCTTTGATTCTTTTGTGTACTGCTGCAATGCAATGTTTGAGATGCTTGATTTGGCATACCAGCTATTTGCGACGAGCACAACGTGTGGCTATAACAGGCAGTGCCAGTGTATCCTTCGGTGGTGTGATGGATGGAGTTGTAACAGTTGTAATCACTTTAGCCTGCTGGAACATACCTGCACTGCAATGCTCTTGTTTGGCATGTCCTCAAGGACTTGCTGTAGCACAACAACTACATGGCTCCTCATCCGTCATAATGGCTGGCTGCTGGATGGGTACCTACGTATGTTATTAAGTGCAGTCATACAGTATACGAGTTGCTCTCCGACCTACCTCTTCATTATGCTCCACAAGAATAATCCAACTTTTCTCAAACACAGCCATTGAACACATCAGAACCTAATCACATCCTCTTTATGGAACTTATACCCTTTCACTAGCCGTTGGTTGTAAGCATACATTTCGTGCCTAACACTTGTATAGCCATCCACACCAAATTGCCTCCTTGATGAATTCAGGTCAACCCTCTTACGCATCAATGGTCTCTCATACTCCCCCCCATCTCGCTTCCATGAGAACGAGCAACAGACAACACAGCACAGTGTCAGGGAGGGATAGACATTGCCCACAGAAGCCGCCTCTTCAGAGAAACGAGTTGGAAAGAAAATGGCTTGCAGGCTTGGAGCATTGATGGAGGGGGGCCGCACTGTTGTGGACATGCTCCTTTTGATCCATCCAGGCTCCCCCATCCGAGTTTCAGGTCGAACGTCTTCCACAGCAGTCTCTCTCATGTCCTCATAAGCTCTTCCGGCATTCACGACAATCCCAAGGCTCTTCAGCCTCGTCCACTCTGCATCCACCTTGTTCAAAGGGAGATCGTGCTTCACTACAAGCACCTCCACTGTTGGCGCTATGGCGCCAAGCCACTGCATCAAGGAGATGTTAGAAATGTCAGATGGAATGTAGTGAGAGCTCCTAGGTGAGCTGGACGGCCCATCAATGATGGATCCATTCAGAAAGACGGATCTGGCAGATCTGAGAGGGAGGGATGAAGCATCCAGCAACTTGCAGCCGTAAAGCATGAGATGGTCAAGAGAAAGCGGAGCTTCGGCCTTGCAGGCAAGCTCTAAAGGTTCTCCCAAAGCAGAGAAGGACTTGAGAGAGGGAGGGAGGGTGAGGCTGAGTTTGAGATACTGCCTGGGGAAACAGAAGCGGACCACTCGAGCCACATAGAACTCGAAGTCAAAGCTGGTGATGCCGCGATGGAAACCAGGCATGTTAACAATGACAAGTTCTGGACCGCAAAGAGTGAACTCGTGCAGCTGTGGAGTTATGGCAGCAATAAACTTCATGTCTTCGCTTCTGCAACTCTCAGTCTTGATGGTCAAAATGCGCAGAGACCTGAACCATCCCACGTCCAGCAATCCCAGATTCCAAGAATCGGAACACAACTTGAGACACTGGAGCTGGCCGAAATCCTTCAAGAAGGAGAGGCGATTATCCGTGCATTTGGATTTCGGATACAGCCTAAGCTGTAAGCGATTGAGGGAGGGCCTGGACGGTGAAATCAGATCTCGAAGAGAACGGAGCTCTTCTGGAGAGAGAATGATGACAAGCGACTTGTGGCCCCTCTGTTTGAGAAACCAGCAAAGCCTGTTCGTCCACTGGGGGTAGCTGTTGTTGAATTTGAGAGAGATGGGTTTTATTCCCTGCAAGCAAGAATAGACAGGAGCATTAGACACCTTAATACCATACTCTGCAGACATGTTGAAGAGACCAAGATCCCCACAGTAACGGTTACAGCCAACTTGACGATTACAACCAGCAGTTAAACTTGAGGCCTGGTGCAGAAAAATCGGAATTTTGTAAATCTTGAGTCCTACGGTCACTGAAAGCTGGAAATCTAGAAACGATAAACTAACGAGGACCATACATACCGAGAACGAGAGGACATGGTGGAATAACCTCTTGCTGGCAGCAGCACAGGAGAGTAGTGCTGCAGAGGATCCATACTTTTCAAGAAACTCGTTATGCTCCTTGCAGACAAAAGCGTGCTCAGCAATGGGAGACTCCGGTGAATAATGCATTTCTTGATGAGTTCTAGCATGCGACTTCAGAATTCCGTAAGGGTCTGACGGGGGGAGCGGCGGGAGAAGCAGACGGCGGAAGATGATGTGCCAGACGTGAGCAGGCAAGCGGTCTACCACATCGCCGATCTGATGGTGGGCGGGAAACGAACGAGAGAGACCAGATCCCAAGGATAGGATGGGTGAGGCACAGAATTAATAGCACTTGACACCCTCTTGAAGAGTATTCGCTTCAAGAGGCAAGAAAAGCGGGCATCTTGAACGGCAATCGCACTGAACGAGCATTAGTAGCCCAGACTGCGGCAGGAAGAACTTACGCTGGCAGTCGCATCGGGGGGAGCACTTGTGAGTTGTAACGCGTGTATCTGGTTCTCGAGGTCAGCCATTGCAGATGACAGATCGAATCGAAAACCTAAACGAGTCAACCGAGTAACTCAAATGTTTAGTCGATCCAGGGAGGCTCGCTGCACAGGAGCACACCGTTGCTAAGTCGCTGCTTCACACATCATTCTAGACTGAGCACTCAGCATGATGTGTAATCGCCTGCGCACCAATCGCTTAGAATATTGCACTGGAGAACTGCTGCGTCGAGAGTCATTCTCACGGTTCATCGCGGTTTCTCGGCCTCGCAGCGCGTTATCCGGATTACTCTCAAGTCGGACAAAAGCGCTGAGCTGAGCTGCAAACGAATTCTCTAGGTCCTGCAGTGGACCTATGAGCTGGCTGGATGCCTGAAGCGTCGCTTAGGGCGTGTGAGGTCTTTGTAGAAGTTCAAAATAAAGTTCGAACTTTGGGTGGTTACCCTATTCGCTAATTTCGCGAAGGGTGCTTCGGGAACCAAGCATTGTATGGGCTTTGCAAAAGTTCGAGTTTGAAATATGAACTTGACTCGAGTCGGAGGCGGGAACGTGCGTACGCACGTTCATGCGAGCGTGTGTGATTTGCAGCACGTCCGAACAGCTGGCGAAACGGGCGAGCGCTTCGCCAATGCATAAAGTTGCACAACGAAGACACCCCACAATTCGTGCACACAGTGGTAGCCACGTGTCCAGCATCGTGGCATGTTCGAGCACGATGTGGCAACGCGTCCCGCCCGTCTTGACGTCAGTCAAAGAAACTCCCGCCCTTGGCCAATCCACGTCCCCCGCACCAAATGTCTTTGAAATCCTGTGGGAGTGGAAGGCACTTGATAGATTCAAATATACCACCCTTCTCCAACACTTGTGTACTGTATACGCAAATTCCATTCGACATGACAAACGGCAACATTAGCGCCCATGGCTCTGCCACACCGGCAGATGCTACCACTCCAACAGCCTCTACTCCCGCATCTGTCGCTGCACCGATCCGCGCACCCGCACCTCAGCGGCGTCGGCGTGCTGCCGTTGATCCGGCCGCTTCGTGGCGCCTTGGAGTTATCGACCTGGACGATATCGTGGCGCGTGTGCCAAACGGGAACACTCCTCTAGGTGCTGACGACGACACCCTCGCGTACTTCGACGCAGACGAAATCGACTGCCATGGCGAAGACGGCGCCGACGACGACGCCGATGCAGCGACGCCCATCGACAAAAAAGGGTGGGAGCCGGCGGAAGTCATGCAGCTGGCGTGGATCCGCCACGACTTCGACGAGCAATATCGGAATCTGTGCCGCCTGCAAGGCCAGAACCGAGACGTCATGCTCTACGAGCAAGTCTGTCTTCGTCACCCCGGATGGCGCCATGGTCTCGCAGCCACGAAAGCCAAGGTTTTCCGTATGGAGGCTCAGTGGCGGAAGGTGTCGGATTTATTGCTAAAACCTTCAGGGAAGGGGAAGCCCCCTAAAATGCCTATTTTCTATGACATATTCGACAGGTTCCTAGGGGATCGTGCGAATGCGCGTCCCCCGGCGCTCGCGGGCCCCTTGATTCCCGCAACTACTACCGCGCCTCCTCCTCCGGCTCGTACCATTCCTAGTAAGTGTTGATTGCTGTTTGATGTGATCTTTTTTTTTTACTGCTCATAATTTAAGATTGATGCTACTAATACAACCATTCAACAAGGTGGCATGTAATAATGAAACCACCCAACACCCCCCTATGCGACGCCCATCACCGGCAGATGTGGCGTCTCCTACCACCGCATCAGCGGTGTCTGCAGGGCCCGATGGCGTAGCGGCATCAGCAAGCCGAGCGCAGTCGGCTCGTCGCTCACCCAATCCCCGCCGAGTGACGGCTTCGCCTGGTCACTCTCCTTCGCGCCAGCCATTTTCGTCTCCGTCTACGTCTGCGCTTGCGCCGGACGTGTCCCCCGCCGCTGCCACCGCCATTGCATCTCCATCCCGTTCACACGTCGTCGGCGCGAACGCGGGCGTTGCGCTCCGTGGCCGCGGTGTCTCCCGCCGGCCTGGGCCTGCGGCTGCCGAAGAGGAACATTCGGGCAACGACACAATGGGAGGTGGTGTTGGTAACCACATGAAGTCAAGTGATTCAGTGCTGTGTGCTGAAATAGCGGGGATAATTGCGCAATCGGTAAAAGGGGCTATGCGGGACCAATTTGATGAGTTTTTAGAACGTACCCAAGAGATGGTTGAGAGAGCTCAGGATGCCCGAGCCTCCAGGAAGCGTAGAAGTACGCCGCCAGGCGAGATCGATGACGAGTTGGAGTAAAGCCCGCATCGCGCGACGAGAAATGCGGGGCCTCCGCAACGGGTCCTTCCAGCCACCAAGTGTTGCGCTCACGAGGTTCGTTCAGGCGGTGACGGAAACCGAGGATGAGGTCGATGTTGTGAAGCACGATGCAGGCGGATACGACCTGCGGGGCGCGGATGACGTCGCACTCGAGGCGCCCGTCCAGGATGCGCCATTTGGTCTTCAGCCTCCCGTTCACCTGCTCCACAATCATTCGAGTGCGGGACTGCTGGAGGTTCCAGACTCGCTGATGGTCGGGAAGTGCGATGCCGGGAAGGGCACGATAGGGTGTGTAGATGTAGGGCCTCAATCCATAGGCAGCGTCCGCTACTAGCGTGTAGTCCAATATCCCTCCTTCAATTTTAGTTCTTGCATGGCTGTTCATGAAAACCCGAGCGTCGTTGACGCTTCCGGGATATCCTACAAAAAAGTCCCAGATGAGACCCATGCTGTCGCAGATTAGTTGGCAAATAATAGAAAAGAAACCTTTCCTATTTTTGAAGTCTTTGCAATGTGGTCCCATGCCACGGCAATGTATGTAGGTCCCGTCCATGGCGCCTACCACCCAAGGTATTCCGGCTTGAAGGCGAAACTCTGTCTCGAACAACTGCAGCATGTCCATGTCTGGCCACACGACCCACTTGGGCAGGAGGACTTCGTTGACGAAAAAAACGAACCTCGCAAACAGCTTGTGGGCGTGGGAGAAAGAGTAGCCGAAGTGAAGCCCAATTTCGCGAAATGTGAGACCATGCCCAAGCCTGCTAAGTCCCATGGCGACGAATACAAAGTTATGCACAGGATGCTTACGGTAAGTGTAGCGAAACGGCTGCGCTGATACTGGCGCACTAAGTACACGAAAACGCGTTTGTCAACCCGCAAATACTCATAGAAAGTGTACTCGGGCAGGGATGTTATCAGCCGAAACCAACGCACACGTGCGTCAAGGCGGTCGCCAAGCACGAACACCCAGGTCTGCCTGAGAGTGAAGGCCGAGACGAGCGTGGGGAGTGCCGTGCCAACAGCGTTGAGAACGGGAAGCATCACCATCTGCAAGTACCCTTGCCATACGATGCCGAGAAAGCGGACCAGCTGTAGGGTTGTCATGTTGGGCGAATGACGAGTATACAAGGTGTTGCCACGGGGGCTATTTGTACCCTGGTTACACACTCGGCGCGGAAGGTGAGTTGGAGCTCTAGGTCTTTGTAAACCGAGGCGCAAAATGCTGACGTGGCGCACTGTCAAGACTCTCGAACCGGGTAACCTACCGACATCACCCGGATATACCCCCAGGTGGGGGTGTAAAAAAACCTGGAAAAATGGTGGGTGGGCTTATAATGTGGTAAAATTTATAACCCCATGGGCTAAATAAATGACACTTATGGAATTTTGATTTTATAACACTGGAATGTAGATACACTGGCGATTTAAATCGATGCTTACACAAAGAGGATCGCTACTGAAAAGTTCCGAGAATGTGTCGTACAGTCAAGAATCCGAGTCAACACCTGCTCAAATGTTGCAGATTTCGCGCACGTGCACCTCCTGTGGCAATTTTGCCAAGCGAGCCAGGGGGGATTTCGTCAGGCACGTCTGTGACGATTCGTTTAGGCGCGTTAGTGGTGATTTCGCTACAAAAAAAAAACCAGAATTCATTGGGTGCGCTTATACGAAGATTGACACAACTTGGGGTGGGCTTATAATCGGCAACCGGCTATAAGCCCACTAGTACGATTATAACCGCATGGGTGTAACATAGGCCTGGGGGTATATCCGGGTGATGACGGTATGATGTTGATGTGTGGCTCGGCTCGTTTTTACAAGTTCGAATGTCGGGGTTCGACCTTGTACCGTACCGTATGTGTGTGTGATTTTTTACAGTGTGGTAAGCCCGATGTTCGAATTTCGATAGAAGGAAATTCGAACTTCTTTCGTTGTAAGTTCGAAACTAAAATTCGCCCTAAAAACATAAACTTTTACAAATTTCAAAGACCTCACACACCCTTAGAATTCCAGCAATTTCCACGGAGGCAATATCTCGTTATAGCACCAAGGACAGAGAAAGCAAGAGGAGTCGATATGCAATATCTCGCTAATTTGAGCATTCACAATCACATCTTGTTTTAGGAGTTGATATGCAAGAGAATGAGTTCACAAAACGGCACTTGATTTTCCAGTAGGGTGTCTGCGTGTGTGTAAGCAGAGCAAGCGATGATGAACTAATGGGATGAAAACCACCACCAAGAAAAAAGAGAAAGGGAAATACTACAAGCCATGAACTTACTTGATAAGCAAAGCATCACATTCTACGCGTTCCTCTGGAGTGAAAGATGCCCTGTCTTAACTCCAACCCATCAATATGTCCATGAAACCAAGAGTACTCACACATATCGAACCATTTTCTCCGTCACATCAGGCACACGCCACCCTACGGTCACACACACCAGCAATAAGCTCTCAGAAAGCTTCCTTGTCCCAGCATACACCTTCCCCACAATTGAGTCGCCCCAACGTCCCAGCAGCATACACCTTCCCCCATAACTGAGCCGCCCCAACGTCCCAGCATACACCTTCCTTCCACGCCTCTCTCTACCAAGAGCACGGCTCCACTCACTCGATACCTCAGCCAGTATTCTCCTGCTCGATAAAAGAGCGAAGTCATTCAGAGCGTTTGAAGGAACTGCATGATCCGCTCATCCTGCACCATGTCCTGGCTCATGCTGCGAGTAGATTCATCTGGCCTCACCTGCACTACGGGCTTGTTGCTCCGCTTCCCCCCCTGCCCTTCCCAGCGAAACGATCGCCCAACAATGCAGTAGAGAACCAGAGAAGGGAAGTGCTGATGCAGAGAAACCAGGGTGCTGGGCTGCCAGTGCTGCGTGGCAACGAAAACAGAGTGCAGCTGTGGAGCATTGATGAAGGGGGGGTGAATGCCTTCCGTGCTCACTGATGCTGCTGCTCCTGCCCCTCACACCAATCCCAAGGCATCGCAGGCGGCTCCACTCTACATTCACGCTCTCCAAAGGCCAGCCATGCCTCACTACAAGCGTCTTCACTGTTGGCGCGATGCTGCTGAGAAGCTGCGTCAAGGAGAGTGCATGCCAGAACGTATGATCCAGGGTGCGTGGCCCATTCAGAAAAACAGTCTTGGCAGAAGCGAGTGGTGGGAGGGAATAAACGACGAGCTCCATACGGCCAATGAGAGTGAGCGAGTCAAGAGAGAGAGGGCTGGCGCTCCTGCAGTCGATTTCCAGCTCCTCTGATTTGACTGACAATGCCTTTAGAGTGGGAGGGAGGGAGAAGTCAACGACAAGCATTTGATGCTCGAAACTGACTGATATAACTCGAGCAACAGAAAATTCGAGTTCCAGGCTGCAAAAGCGACGGCTGCAGGAGGAGAGAGAGAGCTCATGCAGCTGCGGTGAGATGGAAGACAGGAAGTTGAGGTCGTGGTCGTTGCAGTCCACATGCTCTATGGTCAGACTCCTTAGTGCTCTGAACCATGCCGCATTCATTCTGCTCAGCTGCCACCTCCTGCGGCCTAGCCTTAGCCGCTGCAGCTGCCCATATTGCTTCAAACATGCTGGATCGATCAACTGGTATTGGATGGATCGATATCGGTAGAAAAAATCCTTGAGCACAAGGCAAAGGCTTGTGAGGGAGTGAGAAGAGGATGCCACAAGCTGGCTGAGACTCTTCATGTCCGTCAAGCTACTGGAAACGAGGTGGAGAGACGGGTGACCTGGCTGTTTGAGGAACTAGGAGAGCATTTCTGTCCACTGGGCCTCGTGGGGGTTGTATACGAGGGACATGGGCTCCAACTCCTGCACACACAGTGACATAACGTGTCTTCAGCAATTCAGCACTCAAACAAAACTTCCCATGCGGTGAGCTGACAGGCGGTGAGCTGACAGGCGGTGAGCTGACAGGCAGTGAGCTGACATGCGGTGAGCTGATATGCAGTGAGGTGATATGCAGTGAGCTGACATGCGGTGAGCTGACATACTTGACCAACAGTTTGTGCAATTTAATGAGGAATTGGCAGAGCACTCACGGAGAAGGAGATGACGTGGTGGAGGAGCCTCTTGCAGGCCATGGCACAGTGCAGCAGAGGCCAGGAGGAGCCGAAACGCCTCACGTTCCCCTCATGTTGCTCCCTGGCGGAACGCGGCCTTGCGGAGGCGGAGGAAGCAATGTTTGCGTCCAGCTGTAGTTCATCAAATGAGTCGACCCGCTGCTGCGATTGAACAAAATCCACCAGGTCACACAAACTTTTGTCTGCTCCCTGCGACCATGATTCCCCTAAAGAATCGTTTCGTTTATGCAGCTGAGCAGTCTCGTCGAGTGGTAGCAGCAGATGGCGGAAAATGATGTGCCAGATGCAGCCGGGAAGCAGATCAACCACGTCCAAGCAGCTCTGGTGGGTGGGGAGAGGAAGCATTGGAAATGGGAGAGGAAGAGAGCGGGAGAGAGAAAACTAGAGGATCAGATGCACCGTCTGATGCATCACTCTCACCTCATGAGAATTCTCAGCAACAGAGGGGTAGGTGAGTCAGCGAGCAGGCATGTTCTGCAGCAGCCCATGCCCATGGCTGGTAGCCATGGGCGCGGTGACAAGTAAGGGAACCGATTCGTCTTGGCTAGACCGACGGTTGGTTGGATACGGACGGTCACAGAAGGAAGAAAAGAAAACACACATATAGCAAGTGTCTATTTAGGATTGAGTCCGCCTGGCGCTCACTTCGCTGACAACAACTTGAGTTCCCTGACCTGAGATATCTGCTATTCGGAGTCTCACGCCGCTCGCCATACTCGCGCCATCGTGAAAACCCTTCCACACTCGCCTGTCAGGTTCGGCCGTGACGAGGCCGCGCCTGTCGTCGCCATGGCGGAAGCAATAAAAGTCGGCGTCGCGGGCTGACTGAGTCCGCAGCAGCGCGACACGGCGAGGCATGGGAGGGCGCCGAGCGGCGGGGGAAGTC